AATCCCCAGAATCCTTGCAGTTTTTACACAAAACTTAATCAAAGTATGTTATTTCCTTAAAATTTTGAACGATTTTTACTTTCACACCACTTTGACTCATCGTTTTGTAAAAAAAAAGTATGAACACTACTGCGGCAAGTTTTTTATAAAGTTGACGCAACTATCCAAGATTCTAAAATGGTATAATACTCTAAGAAACCTTGTCGCAAAAAAGATATGCGTACCATTTTTACAAGTACTTCGCTTGTTAGTTAGTATGGGATAAATCTTGCAACTTAATTCAAAACCAGTTCTCCTCAACCGATTGAGCTGAAATTTGGTACACTTATGTAAGTACGATGAAAATGCAATATTATGGTACCACTAAGCTGAATGGAGACTGGAGGTGGCCATAGGAACTTCTAAACGAAACGACGGAATTGCATCTAGTTTGGGTTCGTTGGATTTGTCTTTTCGAGCACTTTAGTGCTAGATGATGTCCACGGTCCTGATGATGAAGTCAATCATAATTTTCAAACGAAGTCAAGCTTTTTTTTAATTGTTTTTTATTACAACTTTATTTTAAACATTTAAGTTGTTTCTCAACCTCATGGCCCAAGTGCTCGGGAAGACAAATCCAACGAACCCAAACTCGATAAGCTTCCGCGGTTTCTTTTAGGAGTTCCTATGACCAGCTTCTGCCACCTCTTGATTTCATCATCAGGTCCCTGAACATCATCTAGCACTAAAGTTCTCGAAAAGACAAGTTCAACGAACCCAAACTAGATGCAATTCCGCCGTTTCGTTAAGAGTTCCTATGGCCACTTCCAGACTCCATCCAGCTCAATGGTACCATAAATTGCATTGTCATCGTACTTACACAAGTATACCAAATTTCAGCTCAATTGGTTAAGGAGAACTGGTTTTAAATTCAGGTTCGGTTTTAACTAACAAGCGAAGTGCTTGTAAAAATGGTACGCATATCTTTTTTGCGACAAAGTTTCTTAGAGTATTATACCATTTTGGAATCTTAAATAGTTGCGTCAACTTTATAAAAAACTTGCCGCAGTAGTGTTCATACTTTTTTTTTACAAAACGATGAGTCAAAGTGGTGTGAAAGTAAAAATCGTTCAAAATTTTAATGAAATAACATATTTTGATTAACTTTTGTGTAAAAACTGGAAGGATTCTGGGGGTTTTAAGAGTTGGAGTGAACAGCAGCACTACTTAAGTTGCCGATATAAACAGAAAAACAGGAATATTTGAAAAATTGTGGTCGTGGTAATGTAAAATATCATAAGGGGTGTCAATTTTCGTCGAATTTCATAATTTATTGTGTAACTTAAAAAATAATTGAGATAGATTTTTTTCCTTATTTTTCCTAAAGTAGTCATGACTATGTCCATCTTGTGGCGTCAGCTTATCCTTGAATTTTGGGACACGTTGTATATACTGTGTCTTTGCACTGCAGTTTCTATGGGTCGTCAGTGTCTTTAATGGCACATAGATCTATAGGCTACACCAAGCTCACGGATGTCAATTCGGGCTAAAATATCAGGCTATTCGCGAACGCTGTTTGACAAAACTATGTAAGAGGCCTACTCGTATTGATGGCACCTAAAATTTAGATAGTAAGTAATTTAAACTTGGCTAACTACGGAACCGATTTTAAAAATTCATTCACCAGTAGAAGCTACATTACCTAATTCCTGATATACTCGTATCTATCTTTAACAGACTGAAATTCAGGCGGACGAAGTCACGGGCAAAAGCTAGTATTTATTATGGTAATAATGATCTCCGGTATAATACTATCATAGTTATTTAACATGAGTAGTTGGTACCCTCGATATTAAAGTGCTACAATTTTGTCCCATTAACTATGCACGTCTGATGTGTACATTTGTTGTGTGACTCACTTTACTGAAGCATACTTTGTTAGCATGTCGCGTTAATTTTGATTCTTAGCCAATATGTTTAATATGTTTTATTAGGATACGCACGCAGATGCAGTTTATTCCTGCAATTAGGGTAATTATCTCTGATTATACGTAGTTTATGATTGATGTTGTATGAGGTACCTAGTTATAATGAACGTTTATATTCTGAGCAAGAGAGTTCGTTATATTACTAAAACACACACAATCACAATAGTAATTAAAAGAAATTATAGAGAATTTATAATGCGAACGGCTAGGGACTGGAATTTGTTGCCTGCTGCTGTCTTTCCCGAAGACTATCATATTCCGGGCCTTTTCAAGGCGAGAGTGAATAGGCAATTGCAGGGCTATGTACCATCCTAGACTGCATCCCACTTAACATCAGGTGCGATTGTGGTCAAATACTTGCCTTATGCATAAAAAAAATGTCCCCACTGGGTGGACCGGCTATCTGGTGAAGGTCGCTGGAAGAACCTGTATGCTGGCAACTCAGGACCAGTCGTTATGGAAATCCTTGGGGAGGCATTTGTCCAGCAGTGGACGTCATTTGGCTGAAACGAACGATCGTTTATATTCTGATCTCGAAGCAAGGGTTAGTTTTATTACTAACATTACCTACCTACGTATAATGACCAGACAACGTATAGACAGATGTAGTATGACTCAGATATACAATGCACTTAAGTACTCACTCATTACACAAACGTTGAAATCTTATGGGAACCGAATCCTCGACCATTGCGGATTGGATGCAACTGCACCAGATAGCCGACTTGTCAATATGCCTGTAATGGCACTAGTTAGCACTAAAAAGGGAAATCAACTAGGTTTCGTTGTGGCTGACTTTGGGACCGGTTTTGTACCAAGTTCAATACCAAGGCGAGTGTATATTTTTGAGGCTAACTGCTCTATTCAAGACAATTTCGTTTCGTTTCAGCCAAATGACGTCCACAGCTGGAGAAAGGCCTCCCCACTAATTTCCATAACGACTGTCCTGCACTGCCCGCATCCAGGTACTTCCCGCGACCTTCAAGACGTCTCAAGTCTTAACAAAACTAGGCACAACTGAACAAAATAATCCCTTCGTTTTTGTATGGCTCAGCTGGGAATCGAACCTGCGAGTCGAGAGTTCGACACTAGCCACTGGACTACGGAGGCGATGCACATTAACATCCTTTGTTTAATTTTTCAGCGATAGAGATGCTCAGCTATTGTAATGTTATAGATTTATCTTAGGAATATTGGCGCAACTTAAAATTAGAGTAATTTGTGCAAGTCATCTTAAAAAAGTACTAAGCATACATGAATGAGTGACAAAATGTTATTTCTTAGCTTTGCTTTCGCAGATAATGCTAATAGTGACGAATAAAGTATAAATATCCCAACCACCTGTCATGTGTTCTATGAAGAACTAGTATAGCCTGCAGCTTTCCGCGTGGATGTATCTCAGAAAGTCTATATTTGTAATTTACATAGAATTTATTAGCTGTCTCAATTCCCTACAGATTAACAATACCAACTTGATAAAAACTGTCTTTACAACATAATTTATAAGTATAAGCTGTAAATTACCTATATGTTAGACAAATCATTCATTCATCATTTATTATCTTGGTGATTCATATTAATTTACTTTCATGAATTCGTGTTTCTGTCACATGTAATGCAATAAAATGTAGGTATTATTTTTTAATACCGAAAATAGCTTCTCAGTACCTACAAAGATTACAAAACGTGTTATAATCTTTAGCGCGTCACATTATGGCTATTTTTGGGGTTACGTCATTGTTTTCTTGAGATTAGACGTTTCATGTTTATTATATTTGTTGGGCTAGTAGATCGCCTGCTTTATTTCTCGCAAGCACAACGAAATACGAATGCATGTATTCATAAGTCTTTACATTTTATCTCAATCGTAAAATTTTTGATTTACGATTCTCTATCTTATCTACTCTACCCTTCAATGTCTGATTGAAACGCAGTGAAATGTTGTTTTGCATTGCAGCCGCAATAATTTATGCGCAAATGCAAAGAAAGCAAGATGCGCCTAGGCGAATTGAAATTGCAACTCGTACAAAGGTGTGGTTTAGTTGTTATGCGCGCTGCGCCTCCATTAGCTGGATCGGTTGCGAGTCCACTCGACACACTCAGGTAGCGCCGGGATAAAAACAACACTTGAAATGGAACGGACGCACCTCGCTCTCACCTAGATAACGCTCAACGCTCGCCAACATCCATCAACCTTCAACCCAAACCTGGACTCAATCGGCAGCCCCGTCGCCCATTCACAGCACACGCACTCTGATAATAATGTAAATAGGGCTTAGCGTCCAATGAATGAGCCTTATAACATGTAAATTCGTCGTTCACAAATCGCGACAGAACACCGCGCGTAGGCGTCGGGCTTGAATGAAAATAAACATCGACGGGTCTTACCTTTCAATTTTTATAAGATCCAGATTAACGATATGTTCACAGCACAGAGTAAAGAGGTTCGCAATGTGGTTATTACACAGAACTGTTGGGCACAACACTGTTTGGGACGCGGCTGTGTCGCGGCGCGGTCGGGCGTACGACGGGCCGGCCGGTTCGTTCGACACTGGCGAACACTCGTAGGTGCGCTCGCGTCGCACGCACACTGACGCGTTCATTCAAATAAAGCCGCTCCGTGGAGGGGAGAACTTATGAATGGACGTAGTGGTCGTATAGATACCGCTGATAAGACACTGTGCAAGCATTATACAATATGATACGACCCGAACGGCCGAAAACGTTTCCAGTGACAACGCGATAGATGTCAGATGCCAGCGAAATTGGAAACTTGGTTTCGAAATACTCTAATAAGGTCACTCGCTGGAAGTGGCTCAGATGAAATATTAACATGAACCAAATACATAGGTTAATATAAAATATAAATTATGAATACAGTTCAGGAATTGATTTGCATCTGAATATTTTGAGAATATCATTTTCTCAGAAATATTCGACTGTTGACAAAAATCCTTCTATCTATTCATAAATTGTTGATATAAAAAATTAAATTAAACGACTAACCAGAACTTGTTTTCAATGAAAAGATGCTTTTGTAAATAAATTAGTATTTAATACCTTTGATACGTTCCCTTACTTATTATACATACAAAAGCAACAATGTATACAATAATAACTTGATATATAGCCTGACCAGGAACATAAAAACCCTCGCCATGTTGCGGAAAACTAATGGTACTAATTTCTTTTAATGGCAACAGTAACTGAAAACTTCATTGACATGTCACCTTGCATGTCAGTCTATTGTTGTCAAAGTGTAAACAAACTTTATTTTAAATGTTTGCAATTGATTTTGTGAATTAAATTGCTAAAATATTTTTATAGTCGTGAAAGAAAAGTGGTTCACGATGTGTTAATGTATTTGTCGAAGAGAAATACTAAGGGTTCGGACAATATTTTCATTGAATAATGTTTCCGACAAAGGTTGTCAAATTGACTGACATGTTTATCGTATAGTACAGTCCACTATGAAAATTAGCTGTAGTCTGTTTCAACTACCTATTTTAAAGTTTTTGTCACTTTCTAAGTTTTGAATTTTATGGAATTGGGAAAGAAGTACCGAGTTTGAAGCGTTCATGAGCAGACATTGCAGTTGAATATTCAAGTTCTGAATTTGATTATTGATGAATAATAAAATAAATCCTACTAGCTCGATTGATGGTTTCATTTAATTTATTTAAACCAGGTTACTTTTAATAATATTTTTCGTTAATTTATGAAAATATCAAATTAACCCGTAATCCTGAATCCTGATACATAAATTTAGCCTATTAATTTAACACATGTACGACTGTACTCAGTGTTGCACTATCAAATGCAATTGAAGCGCCTCTATGCCAGGGTTTTTATGTTCCTGGTCAGGCTATAAATAATATCAGCGTGTAACAGTTCGAATTACGCGGGAGGTTTCGAGTTCGCTTAAAAGATTCGATGCCGAAAAAATACTGTGGATTTTTTCCAAAACCGGTTTCCACGAACGAACTAAAATGTTATAAGGCGTGTTAAAAACAGTTTTCTTATGATAGTCCTTTGAGGAAAGTGGATAGCTTGTGGCTCTTGTAGTCTGAGCGCAGCTGGATGAAATTGTGCAGGATCGACTGGTCCAACTCCGCCTGGGGACAAAGAGATAAAGTAAATAAACGCTAATTACCCTATAGTGTAAACAAACATTTACTCCAAAACAGTTGCTCATTCTTATTATTTACTAATGCGGTTTGCCCGTGTATAAAGCATCTATAAATATAAAGTATGTGTGTTATTTTGTGGTCAAGTCTTTCTTTCTTTCTAATGTCAAAACTAGCTCAATAGTATTGAGCCTTCGGACTCGTGTTTTTTTACGCAAGTTTCATCACTTGTCAACAATGTCTTAACCAACCTGAGAACGACGTTATTTTTCAATAAGCGTGTTCTACCTGGGAATCGAACCCCCCAAATTTTGGGACAGTCTACTTTTCAACCACTGGACCATGAAGACGTAAGTCAGTAAGCAAGAGCCCAGGAGGAAGGTTCCTAGGGACTCAAACTTCTAGGTTGATTTTACTTTATCACTACATAGTATAAATAAAGACGCTTTCCGCTGTCTGTCCCTTAGAACTTTAAAACTACGCAACGGATTTTGATGCGGTTTTTTTAAAAGATCATCAAGAGCAAGTTTTAATGTATACTTAGCACCCGTGCGAAGCTGGGGCGGGTCGCTAGTGTATTCTATAATTGTTAAATTATACTAACTTAAAACTTAGAAACACGATATAAATGAGAGATAGTTGACTTTGAATGACTGGCGGCGTTTTTTCACTCACTTTCAAAGTTGCGGCCAAAACTAGTGTTATTTAAAATTGTCGATCATCATTTAGATATGCAAATTAATAAGTGTGAACTTGTGATCTTGTCTGAATATTTCAGATACTGTGTAGTCCAAAACTCGTATTTTAATTAAATTTTCTAGCCTGTCCAATTACGAGTCAGCTTCGTAGCGTGATAAAAAACAGGTTACAAATTGCACTACGAAAAGTATAGAGCCGCGAGTATCCAGTATCCATAGACTAATTATAATAACGAGTTTGCGGTTATTTTAGGCGAGAGCATAAAGACGAGGGATGTTCCGTTATATGTCGCTGAACCAAACACTATTGAATATTTTAAACTCTACTATAGCTGACACCATTATATACACCCGAAAATTCTGAATCGTGTTTTTGGAAATGCTAAGTATGATAACTTCTAATTAAAAAAAAGAGATTACTACAAAGAAAGTCTAGTATGTTCCTTCTGTTCATACAAAAAATATAAAGTTTTAAGTTGTCAGGGTTATAAAAATATATCACTTAATTCGATCTTTTTCAATTTAAATATACCTGACTTATATTCTTTAAAGGTACTTTTTTACTTATAATCATCTTTGTTTTTTTTTAATTATCTCTATAAAATCGTCAAAAATAGTGATGTCTTTTAGAATTCATTAAGCTCCGCGCTAACGGGCCACCAGCCACAGTAGCTGGTGACAACTTGTTTACATGATCTTTATCACGTTTTACATACATGGAATGGCTACACACGTGTAGCGAGTGGCGTCCACTAGCGACTAAAGTGTCTGCGACACGCCACCAATGGCGGCTAACTTGTGACTTACGCACGTACTCACAAACGATACTTGCTAAATGAAGCAGCAAATGGATAGCACAGCGTTGATTAGGGCTCTGTGATTTGTTCGTGTGTCACCCTGTGCGTCCACGCGTACTGTGACACCTCATACTTATGTTTGTGAATACGGGCGTCAGTGTCCGCGACATGTCACCTGTGGCCGCTACTTGATACTATTACAACTGTTAATAGACTTGGTGGCTGTGGTAATGAAATAAATATGCTACAGTGGGATTAAATGGCGTGATGACGATGATGAAACGTTTAGACTCACCGGTGTCTCTCCCTTTCAGACCTAGCGTATGTTCTGCAGTGGAGACTAAAGGAGCTGATGATGATGATCATAATAATGATGATGATTAAGACTCACCAGTGTTTCTCCCTCGCAGACCTGATGCAGGTTCTCGGGCTTGACGAGCAGCAGGTTGCAGAGCGCGTGCAGAGCGGACAAAAGGATCTGATGATGATGATGTTGAAATGTGTACTGTGTAGACTTTCCAGTCTTTCCCTTACAGGCCTGGTGCAGTTTCTGCAGTGGCTGTGGAGACTAAATGACCTGACCTGACAATAATGACTTACTTGCCAGTGTCCAGGGTTTGGATCCCTCTGTCAGTTAAAACTTAATGACCTGACGGGCGACATGTTAAAATCATATCGACATTATAGACGACAAATGTATGGGCTTATCGTGAAAAATCAATAGTGTCTCGATAAAACTCGATAAAAGTTTATAGTGGCGCGCATCCTCGGCCTACTAGTGATGATGATGACTTACCAGTGTCTCCCCCTCGCAGACCTAGTGCAGGTTCTCCGGCTTGACGAGTAGCAGGTTAAAGAGCCTCAAACAGCGCGGACAAAAGGATCTGATGATGATGATCATAATAATGATGATGAACTCACCAGAGTTTCTCCCTCGCAGACCTAGTGCAGGTTCTCCGGCTTGACGAGTAGCAGGTTAAAGAGCCTCAAACAGCGTGGACAAAAGGATCTGATGATGATGATCATAACGATGATGATGATATTAGCTCACCAGTGTTTCCCCCTCGCAGACCTGGTGCAGGTTCTCGGGCTTGACGAGCAGCAAGTTGCAAAGCGCGTGGAGAGCGTCGAACAGCGCGGACAAAAGGATCTGATGATGATGATCATAACGATGATGATGATATTAGCTCACCAGTGTTTCCCCCTCGCAGACCTGGTGCAGGTTCTCCGGCTTGACGAGCAGCAAGTTGCAAAGCGCGTGGAGAGCGTCGAACAGCGCGGACAAAAGGATCTGATGATGATGATCATAACGATGATGATGATATTAACTCACCAGAGTTTCTCCCTCGCAGACCTGATGCAGGTTCTCCGGCTTGACGAGCAGCAAGTTGCAAAGCGCGTGGAGAGCGTCAAACAGCGCGTGCGCCGGCGCCGGCGCCGCCCGCCCGCCGCGACCGCATGCCGCCGACCGGTATTCCTTGACGTCGCAGATGGCTATCATTGCGCCTGCAGACAAATATAAGGTTAAATACTTCCTCAGCTTGACTAGGCCATTCCACAAAGATACAACGGTCATCCTACTAATATTATAAAGGCGAAAGTTTGGATGTCGTGATGTCTGGATGTTTGTTACTCTTTCACGCAAAAATAACTGAACGGATTTTGTTGAAACTTTACAGTATTATTGTTTATAACCCAAATTATCATATAGGCTATAATTTATGACGATATGTGACAAATAAATTTCAAGCGTCATCTATCGTCATTGGTTAAAATCTACAGCGCTGGACGAACTACTGTTTTTGACATTCGTAAATATTCATGCCGTGAAACGCCATCTATCAACATGATATATAACGGGTGTAAAACGAGGTCCACGCGTACGAAGTCGCGGGCGGCCGCTAGTTATTTATATGGCTATCATCATCATCTTCTCTAATATGTACTGATAAATGAATGAATATCTTATAGTGCGTTCAGTGGCGCTAGGGTCGTACGCGCAATAGACCAGCCGTCATGTCTGATTATGTAAGGCATTTTGCCTTATTCTACGTTTAAAAGCTTATCGACGCTAGTATAGCCATCAAAAGACTGACAAATGAACATCGAACAGCGCGTGCGCCTCCGGTAATAGCGCTAGATTCGCATGCACATTAGACTTGCCGCCGATTTTTTCATGTCGCATTATCGTGTCTACTAATAAAATCAGTATTTAGCCTTAGTGACACTCAGAGGATTTTTGTTAAATCCCTTTAAATACTAATAGTCCTGTTAGCCCCTCGTATTAAGCTAAATATGCTTGTATCACGAGTGAGCTCACCACAATAGTCGAGCGGCGGCGGGGCCCGAACCCGCGTTCCCCGGATCACTAGTCGGCCAGTCCGACCCTTTCACCGTTCGGCTATCGTGGCTTGGACTTGTAATTAATTAATGAGACAGCATTTGACAAAAGACTACAGGATTTTATTGTCACATCGTAGATTGATATCGCCACATTTAACAACAATAATAATAGTATCAGCCTCTACAGATTTTCTCACACTAGCGTATTTCCAACGTCGTTCTCTCGCCAGCGCTTGCGCAGCGTCACGCTGAGCTCAGTAGCGCAGTCAGCGCATTCGTTACATAAAATGAAAAATAGTATTTACCTACCTGAATACCTGTGATTTTTGATGGTCAATACAGTGTCCTTTGCAGTGTTATTTTTATAGCGGTAGTGTTACAGTGGTCTCACCAGCGGAGTTGAACTGGAAGTTCTGCAGGTGGTCGTAGATGACGCGGTGCAGGCGTACAGCCAGCTCCAGCGAGACGGCACGCAGGTTGGCGCCTTCCAGCCCCGAGTGAATCTTGTCCGTCACTGAGTTTAGATACGAGACCACGGCGAGGCAGGCCTGGTAATGATAAAAAAGGGATATTATATCTTGTACTTGATAAAGCCTGGTCCGTGAGCACGTAGAGTCCCGTCCAATGACCCCAAGCTACCCATCCCTATCGCTCGCGCGTAATTATGTTGCTGTCGCGACTGTGCGACGGGCGCCTGCAGTGAATGTGCGAGCGCGACAGCAACATAATTACGCGCGAGCGATAGGGATGGGTAGCTTGGGGGCATTGGACGGGATTCTACGTGCTCACGGACCAGGCTTTAGTAGTTCTGTTGACGTAACATAAACACACCCGCATTTCTCCACTGCCGCAGAACCTATTTAGTTATGCGCTGAGTAGGACAATGGAAATCTACACTATGACAAAGTATCAACAGTTGGATATGTCCGTACCATCCATTGCCGTGGTGCCATCTGCTAAAAGCTTTGGGTGTGGACGGTGTTCTGACTCACAATTTCTCATATTTTAGAGCTTTTAGCCTTATAAATGCCCGTATTATTATAGATAACTTACAGGCGAAGCCAGCGTATCAATGTCCCCCTCAGGTTTGAAATCGGTCTTTTTTTGCTCCGTCTGAAGGTGCAGTTTGACCCAGCCCACTATAGCTGAGATAGCGCGTTCTAGGCCCGCGACCAGTTTGTTCCCCAACTGTTCCATGATTGCAGTCGAATAATAACTAATTGTAGATAACTTACAGGCGAAGCCAGTGTATCAATGTCTCCTTCGGGTTTGAAATCGGTCTTTTTCTGCTCCGTCTGAAGGTGCAGTTTGACCCAGCCTACTATAGCCGAGATAGCGCGTTCTAGGCCCGCGTCCAGTTTGTTCTCCAACTGTTCCATGATTGCTGTCTAATAATAACTAATTGTAGACAACTTACAGGCGAAGCCAGCGTATCAATGTCGCCTTCAGGTTTGAAGTCTGTTTTCTTCTGCTCCGTCTGAAGGTGCAGTTTGACCCAGACCACTATAGCAGAGATAGCGCGTTCTAGGCCCGCGACCAGTTTGTTCCCCAACTGTTCCATGATTGCAGTCGAATAATAACTAATTGTGGATAACTTACAGGCGAAGCCATCGTATCAATGTCTCCTTCGGGTTTGAAATCGGTCTTTTTTTGCTCCGTCTGAAGGTGCAGTTTAACCCAGCCCACTATAGCTGAGATAGCGCGCTCTAGACCCGCGTCTAATTTGTTATCTAGCTGTTCCATGATTGCAGTCGAATAAACTAATTGTGGATAACTTACAGGCGAAGCTAATGTATCAATGTCCCCCTCAGGTTTGAAATCGGTCTTTTTCTGCTCCGTCTGAAGGTGCAGTTTGACCCAGCCCACTATAGCTGAGATAGCGCGCTCTAGACCCGCGTCTAATTTGTTATCTAGCTGTTCCATGATTGCAGTCGAATAAACTAATTGTGGATAACTTACAGGCGAAGCTAATGTATCAATGTCCCCCTCAGGTTTGAAATCGGTCTTTTTCTGCTCCGTCTGAAGGTGCAGTTTGACCCAGCCCACTATAGCTGAGATAGCGCGCTCTAGACCCGCGTCTAATTTGTTATCTAGCTGTTCCATGATTGCAGTCGAATAAACTAATTGTGGATAACTTACAGGCGAAGCTAATGTATCAATGTCCCCCTCAGGTTTGAAATCGGTCTTTTTCTGCTCCGTCTGAAGGTGCAGTTTGACCCAGCCCACTATAGCTGAGATAGCGCGCTCTAGACCCGCGTCTAATTTGTTATCTAGCTGTTCCATGATTGCAGTCGAATAATAACTAATTGTAGATAACTTACAGGCGAAGCCAGCGTATCAATGTCGCCCTCAGGTTTGAAGTCTGTTTTCTCCTGCTCCGTCTGAAGGTGCAGTTTGACCCAGCCCACTATAGCAGAGATAGCGCGCTCTAGGCCTGCGTCCAGTTTGTTCCCCAACTGTTCCATGATTGCAGTCGAATAAACTAATTGTAGATAACTTACAGGCGAAGCCAGCGTATCAATGTATCCTTCAGGTTTGAAATCGGTCTTTTTCTGCTCCGTCTGAAGGTGCAGTTTGATCAAGCCCACTATAGCTGAGATAGCGCGCTCTAGACCCGCGTCTAATTTGTTATCTAGCTGTTCCATGATTGCAGTCGAATAAACTAATTGTGGATAACTTACAGGCAAAGCCAGCGTATCAATGTCGTCCTCAGGTTTGAAGTCTGTTTTCTTCTGTTCCGTCTGAAGGTGCAGTTTGACCCAGCCCACTATAGCCGAGATAGCGCGTTCTAGGCCCGCGACCAGTTTGTTCCCCAACTGTTCCATGATTGCAGTCGAATAATAACTAATTGTGGATAACTTACAGGCGAAGCCAGCGTATCAATGTCTCCTTCGGGTTTGAAATCGGTCTTTTTTTGCTCCGTCTGAAGGTGCAGTTTAACCCAGCCCACTATAGCTGAGATAGCGCGCTCTAGACCCGCGTCTAATTTGTTATCTAGCTGTTCCATGATTGCAGTCGAATAAACTAATTGTGGATAACTTACAGGCGAAGCTAATGTATCAATGTCCCCCTCAGGTTTGAAATCGGTCTTTTTCTGCTCCGTCTGAAGGTGCAGTTTGACCCAGCCCACTATAGCTGAGATAGCGCGCTCTAGACCCGCGTCTAATTTGTTATCTAGCTGTTCCATGATTGCAGTCGAATAAACTAATTGTGGATAACTTACAGGCAAAGCCAGCGTATCAATGTCGTCCTCAGGTTTGAAGTCTGTTTTCTTCTGCTCCGTCTGAAGGTGCAGTTTGACCCAGCCCACTATAGCCGAGATAGCGCGTTCTAGGCCCGCGACCAGTTTGTTCCCCAACTGTTCCATGATTGCAGTCGAATAATAACTAATTGTGGATAACTTACAGGCGAAGCCAGCGTATCAATGTCTCCTTCGGGTTTGAAATCGGTCTTTTTCTGCTCCGTCTGAAGGTGCAGTTTAACCCAGCCCACTATAGCTGAGATAGCGCGCTCTAGACCCGCGTCTAATTTGTTATCTAGCTGTTCCATGATTGCAGTCGAATAAACTAATTGTGGATAACTTACAGGCGAAGCTAATGTATCAATGTCCCCCTCAGGTTTGAAATCGGTCTTTTTCTGCTCCGTCTGAAGGTGCAGTTTAACCCAGCCCACTATAGCTGAGATAGCGCGCTCTAGACCCGCGTCTAATTTGTTATCTAGCTGTTCCATGATTGCAGTCGAATAAACTAATTGTGGATAACTTACAGGCGAAGCTAATGTATCAATGTCCCCCTCAGGTTTGAAATCGGTCTTTTTCTGCTCCGTCTGAAGGTGCAGTTTGACCCAGCCCACTATAGCTGAGATAGCGCGCTCTAGACCCGCGTCTAATTTGTTATCTAGCTGTTCCATGATTGCAGTCGAATAATAACTAATTGTAGATAACTTACAGGCGAAGCCAGCGTATCAATGTCGCCCTCAGGTTTGAAGTCTGTTTTCTCCTGCTCCGTCTGAAGGTGCAGTTTGACCCAGCCCACTATAGCAGAGATAGCGCGCTCTAGACCCGCGTCTAATTTGTTATCTAGCTGTTCCATGATTGCAGTCGAATAAACTAATTGTGGATAACTTACAGGCGAAGCCAGCGTATCAATGTCGTCCTCAGGTTTGAAGTCTGTTTTCTTCTGTTCCGTCTGAAGGTGCAGTTTGACCCAGCCCACTATAGCCGAGATAGCGCGTTCTAGGCCCGCGACCAGTTTGTTCTCCAACTGTTCCATGATTGCAGTCGAATAATAACTAATTGTAGATAACTTACAGGCGAAGCCAGCGTATCAATGTCCCCCTCAGGTTTGAAATCGGTCTTTTTTTGCTCCGTCTGAAGGTGCAGTTTAACCCAGCCCACTATAGCTGAGATAGCGCGCTCTAGGCCTGCGTCCAATTTGTTCTCCAACTGTTCCATGATTGCTGTCTTCTTTTGCACGCATTCAGTTTGTTTTGATGAGGTGCTAAAATAAAAATGGATGTAGTAAATGAGCAAAACATTGGGAAGTTGACAACGTTAACCGACAATTCTTATTCTAAGATAAGAAAAATATTTAATTTTAGCCCTGTAACTAAGTTAGCGGTAAAATTTGATCAATAAATAAATAGTCGCTCGCTCGCTTCCACCTTCGGCCTGATCGTCACTTACCATCAGGTGAGATACAGGCCAAGAGCTTCCTCATTGTGGATATAAAAAAATGTCAATTGAGTTCGAGAACTAGTCATATAGAGTTCCCTTTACCTCACAAAACCTATGAGAGAGATATCTTTATGGAATTTTGTTATCAAATAGGGCAGTAACTCACCTTATACAAGGCAAAATGGATTCTTGAAAGTGATCGACAAACATCTTCACTATTGCGTTTGCTTCCTTCACGATATCAAAAAAGTAGATCTGTAACAAGAATAGTATTAATTTCTACTTTGTCAATCGAGTCGGTTTAGCAAGAATTAAACTGTACGACGACATCCTGATAAGTTGATTTTAGCGTTATGTGGTGATAAGAAATTACCACAGTGGTTATATGAATTTGCCAAAATCCTACTAATCCTACTAATATTATAAAAATGCGAAAGTTTGGATGTCTGGATGTTTGTTACTCTTTCACGCAAAAACTACTGAACGGATTTTGTTGAAACTTTACAGTATTATTGTTTGTAACCCAGATTAACATATAGGCTATAATTTATGCCGATCTGTGACACAAAATTTCACGCGGGTGAAGCCGCGGGCAAATATGACTGAAATACAGATGACAGAAAATCCTACATAACTCTTGCTCACACTTACCCAATAAAAATACAAAGTAAAAGGTATAGCTCACACTAAGCCCTACGCAAGATAAAGGGCTTTGCCGTAAAAAATGACATACCTGAGGCGGAGACTTGCTCTCAGCAATGGGTATGGACTGCAAGCCCAGGTCTAGCGCGTAGTCTACGTGCTCGATCAGTAGATGTTGGATCAACACATCGAGAAGCGCAACCGTTGTGACAGGCAGTTCGTTGGGAGTGCAAAGCTGTAAACAAGATTCGGTCAAAAGATCTCGCTTTATGGGCTTTTGCTTCTATAAGGAGGCTAAAACTACAGTAGGTAGATGTTGGATCAGCACATCGAGGAGCGCGACCGTTGTGACCGGCAGCTCGTTGGGAGTGCAAAGCTATGAACAAGATTTGGTCAAAAGATGTCGCTTTATAGACGTTTGCTTCTATAAGGAGGCTGTACCCCGCAGTTTTAGCATAAAAGCAACACAACGAGCAAAAACTGTGTTTTTAGCTAACATGTCTGAACTCTGATCCTTTTTAATTCTTTTTGAGAAAGAGATTTCAGTCATTGCTTTTCTTTTTAAATCAGTTTTAGATTTTTTTTTAAATAACTCAAGTGTTTCAAATACTCATCTAAAATAGACTTTGCCTATCTCTTTAAAACTAATAATGATCTCAAATATTTTTGGTCAAGATTGGGTTTAATTGGATTGCTGTAATAATTAATTAGGTACAAATAATTTTTGTTGAAACAAATTCATTACCAGTCGTTAAAAAAAGTGTGAACATTCTGTTCAACCATGCATTGAATCCAATGAGCGTACCGTTCAGTATCCCCAGAATGACGTTTGGGTATCGCACAGCATGCTGTTTTAGAACATTATGTGCAACTAACAGTAACAGTATTTCCTAATTACCGTGCCCTACGGAGCCCATATGTTTTAATTTAAAGTTCATGATAGATGCAATAAAAGAAAGATTGAGTATAGTAACAGTACAATAAGTCAGCGTACCGTTTTGCATCTCAGGAATGACGTCTGCGCATCGCAAAGCATCCTCTCAACCAGCTGTTCACTAAGGAATGTCTCCCCGCCATAGTTTTCAATCTGCGCTATGTTGATGTTGGCGCGCGTCCCGATCACCGCTTGCAAATCACGACGGAGCTCTTGGAAACTGGAATAAAACATTCGCTATGAGTTATAAATTAATTAATTATTGTTATTCTCCACTGCAAAAGCACGACGCTTTTTGATTTTCCAGAGGCAAATGGAGGATTTAACCCGCTTTGCGTGTCCGATACAGTAATGTAAAAAAGTATGGGCATGCCCACATTAAGGTTGGACGTGCCTTTAGTGACCTCATACTTTCACCGTCTTTTGTTCGTCCCCTCTCGTTCGTTCTCGTTTCAGCCAAATGACGTCCACTGCAGGACAAAGGCCTCCCCTAAGGTTTTTCTCAATTAACGGTCCTGCGCTGCCCGCATCCAGGCTCTTCCCGCGACTTTTACCAAATCGTTGGTCCACCTAGTAGGAGGCCTGCCCACGCTACGTCTTCCAGCCCATGGTCGCCACTCGAGAACTTTCCTGTCCCAATGTTCGTCCCGTACTTAGCGGATTTCGGGTGATTAAGGTCTCTGTCTCCTCAGCTCTCTTAGCCTCTAACTTACTTACCCGTTGAGTGAGTTGGACAGCGCAGCGACGAGTCTCCGTTTCTCCAGCGCCGGGTACCCGTCATTTAGCCTCCGTACCAAAGACAATTTGATAAAGGAAAGTGTGTGATTGACAGCGAATAACACCAACTTACCGTCCACCCTGTATCTGCTTCTTCACATGCTGTTTGTCGCTGTAGTACCCGTTGAGTGAGTTAGACTGCGCAGCGACGAGTCTCCGTTTGTCTAGCGCCGGGTACCCTACACTCAGCCTCTATACCAAAGACAATTTGACAGCGACTAACACCAACTTACCCTCCACCCTGTATCTGCTTCTTCACGTGCTGTTTGTCGCTGTAGTACCTATTGAGCGAGTTAGATAGCGCAGCGACGAGTCTCCGTTTGTCTAGCGCCGGGTACCCTACACTCAGCCTCTATACCAAAGACAATTTGACAGCGACTAACACCAACTTACCCTCCACCCTGTATCTGTTTCTTCACGTGCTGTTTGTCGCTATAGTATCCATTGAGTGAGTTAGACAGCGCAGCGACGAGTCTCCGTTTCTCCAGCACCGGATACCCTACACTCAGCCTCTATACCAAAGACCATTTGACAGCGACTAACACCAACTTACCCTCCACCCTGTATCTGTTTCTTCACGTGCTGTTTGTCGCTGTAGTACCCGTTGAGTGATTTAGACAGCGCAGAGACGAGTCTCCGTTTGTCTAGCGCCGGGTACCCTACACTCAGCCTCTATACCAAAGACAATTTGACAGCGACTAATACCAACTTACCCTCCACCCTGTATCTGCTTCTTCACATGCTGTTTGTCGCTATAATACCCGTTGAGTGAGTTAGACAGTGCCGCGACGAGTCTCCGTTTGTCTAGCGCCGGGTACCCTACACTCAGCCTCTATACCAAAGACAATTTGACAGCGACTAACACCAACTTACCCTCCACCCTGTATCTGCTTCTTCACATGCTGTTTGTCGCTATAGTATCCATTGAGTGAGTTAGACAGCGCAGCGATGAGTCTCTGTTTCTCCAATGCCGGGTACCCGTCATTCGCGCTCGCCATCGCTCCGTTCACTAGTGCCTCTGTACCACAAACAATTTGACAAGAAAAAGTCGACTTACCCTCCGCCCTGTATCTGCTTCTTCACATGTTGTTTGTCGCTATAGTATCCATTGAGTGAGTTAGACAGCGCAGCGACGAGTCACCGTTTCTCTAGCGCCGGGTACCAGTCATTCGCGCTCGCCATCGCTCCGTTCACTAGTGCCTCTGTACCACAAACTGCCAAGGAAAAGTCGACTTACCCTCCACCCTGTATCTGCTTCTTCACATGTTGTTTGTCGCTATAGTATCCATTGAGTGAGTTAGACAGCGCAGCGACGAGTCTCCGTTTCTCCAGCGCCGGGTACCCGTCATTCGCGCCGGCCATCGCTCCGTTCACGAGCGCTTCCCGCCGAAGGTCACCGGTTGTCGTGTTGCCGTCAGCTGACACCAAACCGGCGGCCACTAGCTCGTCGCAAACACGCTGTGTGCTGCGAATTGGTGTTTAAATATTAAGTGTAGGGTTCAAAATCAATTAAGGGAATAAGATGAAAATGAGACCTCACTGTTACTTTGGTTATTCCAGTGTTTTTCAACCTGTTTTTCAGCCGCTACAAGGGGGTCGCGAGAGGTCGTAAAAACTACCCAAGTAAAAATCCATAAAGTTATAAAGATACCGATGTAAAAAAACGTAACTTAATTCTGTATTTATCCGAAATCTAATTATGCAAATGCATAAATATTGTATGGATTATCAAGTATTCGGCCTCTACAACATCTTTGTAACATTATAAAATGCATAAAAAAGCGAACGGTCACGGTCCACGGTCGGGGGGTCGCAAAATATTTTTTCTTGCTAGGGGGGTCGCGTCATGAAAAAGGTTGAAAAACACTGGGTTATTCTATCTGTGTACCTGATTTAAATTGAGGCAGGTTTGACAATCTGAATCAGGTACACAAAAAGTCAATCAAAAACTTGAATGTTGTCATACAGATCTACTCTATTTTATGTGAAGTCTGTTTTCTTATGTTTATACATACACATTACAATAGTCAGTGAAAAATTTACTCTGCCACTTCTCAGCATCAGCCAATATTATTATGTTGTCTCGGAGTAGTGGTAGGCTGTATTTGACATGTGTAAGTGCCCTAAATGGGCCTATAAAGATTTTGAATTTGAGAGGAGAAGCATATAAACTCTCTACTGAAGATTGGTGGAAAAAGAAATGAACAAAAACTAGACCAACCTGGTATACATGTCAAATAGGTTCCTCAAGTATTTGTCAACATCACTCTTGTCAGCCAATTTAGTCTGGATGTACTTCTGGAGTTTCAGATGGAAGATGTTCAACACAAACTTGCTCATCACTTGGTCTGGGTTTGGAAATACATTGCTGATGATGGTATAGTTCTTTTTGCAAAGTGGCAACACTGCCGTGAATATGTCCTTGCCGAGTAGAGTATTCTGTAACATAATAAGGGTAAAAGGTGAATTTTACATTAAATAAAATGGGATAGTGTGAAATAGTGAAGATGGGATATTTTGTGGTACAGTCAGTGTGAAATTCATTGTGATATCAAAAATGGGCAAAAAGTTGCCAACACAACCTTATTTTGGGTGTCATGAACTATTTGATACTGACTGCACACATTACAGCAACATACCATTTGACTGGTTTCAATAAAAGCATCCACGCATTGCGAGTACCCTTTGAAATTGGTCATAATGTTGGCAATGTCCTTCATTTTAGCCATGTTCCCTTGATTTTGGGCCTTAACAAACTCCTCAATAAGGTTCCTTTCGATCTCGTCATATTTAGCTTCAATCTTCTTCTTGGCCACTTCGAATTTGTCAGGCGGTAGTTCTTGGGCGATGGTGTGAAGTTTTTGTATGACATCTGCAGCTTCATTTAGCTATGGAGAAGAATAAAACTTGTTATATTAAGATAAAATCATGACAAAGTTAGTGATGCTGGAATTGTAAGTGATCTTTCATAAAACTTGTTTTGTTTTTCCTGTTTACTTATATGAAAAAAAGTTCTAACTTGTAGGCTTCAAAGCAGTTTGTATTTAATATGCTAACATTAAAAACAATATCAGATTCTATTCTCACCAGTTATGTAAACTCTGAAATGTAGCCTAACTTGTTACTGAATCTAGGTACAAAACAAAAGGTCTTGTTTGACTAGATCAGTTAACCGGTGGTCCGCGGACCACTGGTGGTCCCTGGAGGCATTCCAAGTGGTCCACGAAGACATCGTAATAAACAAGTGACGTGACGTGATGAGTCGAGTCAACACAACGCAAACGGCGCACAGTGGCCGAGAAATCGATCTCCCCTTTCATAGGATTTTGAAAAAAAAAAAGTGGTCCCTGACAAGACAGAAATTTGGTAAAATGGTCCCTCGTGACTTAAAGGTTAAGAAGCACTGGACTAGATGTACGACTGAAAGGAGATTTCCAAGTATAAAAGCTGCAGGCAAAGTTAGTAATAAATAATAAATATTGTATGTATACCTTATTGGGATCGTTGAACAGGTCGGTAAGCACAGGGCCCGGGTTTAGGAAGTGTGTAAGATGCGCCAACAAGTCCCTGGCGGCGGCGGCGCGGGCCCTCGGCGCTCTAGCAGCGCCCAACTTCTCTCCCACGTCGAGAGCGCGACCACCGCAGCGAGACATGCGCTCGTCGAGGGAGCTGAAGACGTTCACACAGTGCTGAAACAATACAATGTGAGTCACGTTAAACAATCATTGCAAACGTTGTGATAGGGATAGAGACATGCGATTTTTGGTTTTACGAAGGTAATACGATAGAGAATAATACAAAGTAATAAAAACCACCGGTTATAGGGGCATTTTTTGGAGAAATTTATCAAATAACCAAAAAAACACGAAATTAAAAGCAAATTTTTTTCAAAACATATCATTTTTTATTATTTGTTGGCCTTTTTTGTGTATTTTATGTATTTTTTTAGTATCGCCTGTTATTTAGCATTATTACTGTTTTTATTTTATCAGGATATACCGCTTAGTTTAAAAGTTATTATGTTTTCTTTACAATAAGTAATTGGAAGAAAAAAAATTGTATAAAAAATTAAAAAAAAATCGCAAAATTTTTTGACCTCTTTTTTGTGGATAAAAATAGGTCTAGTTTCATCTATTTTCATATGTACACTTTAAAGGGACTCACACTGTATACAGGGTGTTAGGTAAATATGGGTATATGAGCCGACACTAGCCCATGTTAACATGGGCATATAAATGGTATGGTTAAGTCAGAAAATTGATATCTTCATTTTAATTATTTTAATTTTCATACAAATCGGATTTTATAAAAAATATTTTGTATGAAAATTAAAAAAATTAAAGTGATGATATCAAATTNATGGTATGGTTAAGTCAGAAAATTGATATCTTCATTTTAATTATTTTAATTTTCATACAAATCGGATTTTATAAAAAATATTTTGTATGAAAATTAAAAAAATTAAAGTGATGATATCAAATTTCTGACTTCACCATACCATTTATATGCCCATGTTAACATGGGCTAGTGTCGGCTCATATACCCATTTACCTAACACCCTGTGTAAGTCAGAGGTTCTTATAAATAAATAAATAAAAATATTTTTATTTCCACAAGTTTATAAACTACAATTTCTAAATTAAATTAGAAGCATCTGTCCGTTCACTCTTGTGGCACCCTGTATGGGCAAAAGCCTCCTCCATCCTGTCCTGGGCTAGGTCGAGCCAATTTTCTCCCGCTGCTCTCATTATATCATCAGCCCACCTTTCCGTCTCCCAACATTCCTCTTCCCCTTTGGTCCCTTTCATTGTGAGGGTTCTTGTGCTGTTGTAATAGGGGCGAGTTTGCAACAAAAATGGGTAGCCTGATGTGCTGTCGTGTGTACATGAATATTTTTTGGATTTGTTTGTTTCAACCAAAGTTCATTGCTGAATACAAGCCTCTCCATAGGATTTTGACAGTGCCCGGTCTAGCAGACTGCATTCAGATGCTTCCAGCGAAATTATTTAGAATGTCTATTGGTGTTTTGGTTACATAATGACTTCCAATTTGAATTATACGTCTAGCATGTAACTGAGTCAATGCCCGAGATATGGTAACAGCATGGGAGGGTTGTTTTTGGTCAAAAGTCAGCATGACTTCAGATCTCCTTTCTCATAACTCAGGCACTGACTGGCCTATAGTGGTTTGCGATTAGGTACGTAACTAATTATGTTTTTACTTACAGTATGTTGATCCATGATCTCAGACAATCTAGCACCATATAGCTTCTCTTCCTCTTGCACTGCTTGTTCCAATCTGGCACATTTACGTTCTTGCCGTTCTTGTAAAACCTGGATATTTTAATTGTTTAAATTACAACTCATTTAGGAAAGTAATGTAAGTAAATAATTGATAGATGTAACGCAGTGTGCACAAATAAAACATTCAAAAATTTCTTCTATCCAAAAAAACAACCAGGAAAACTGATAAATTACCTTCAAATCTTGAATAGCTTGAGTAAATATGTCATGTATCATTTCGGGATCGAACTGATCATCTTGCAAGCGTGACTCCATCATACCCCGGCGCACCATTCTTTCAACAAACTCGTCGGGATCAAACGGATCCTAAAAATTAATATTAACCGCATCAATTAAGTACTTCAATTTGTACTTGTAAACTTTTCACAGCATTAAATTACATGTTACTTACATGCTCCAATTCTTTTATATATTGGTTCATCATCTTGGAAACGTTTTAAACTATAAAATGTGGTTAGAAGGAAGTAATAAATATTTATTAAGTATTTAAATTGAGAAAATAAACACAAAACGCCTCCTTTCCAAGTTTTCCTGAAAAAAATGACGTCCACCGCTGTCATGATGACATTTTTATTTTTTTTATTTGATAAGTGTTGTCATTTTTAAGTATTTTTTTCCCTTCCAGAGCCCCGATTACAGTAAATTTTAACGTCTCCAATCCAGACCAAAGAATACTCATACTCCAATCCAGATGCGCTTCATCGATTCTGCGATACAATTGGTCAAAACAGCTGACGTACGCTGTTTTGATTACGCTGACCAATCGAAACGTTAAAAGTTACCGTAATCGGGGCTCTGACTTCATTGGACAAGATGATTTTATTTTTGTTGATTTCAATTATATTCCAAAATATTAAACTATTTAGATATTATGCTTTTTTCGTAACAGTAAAATTACTGCATAAAAAATAACTTCATAAATGATGTAGTACAGTCATGTAAAACACGCATTTATTTTGTTAACTATCGTGTTATTATTCGTGTTTAATTGAGCTTCTATTTAATTATTTTTCTTCTTTACTTACCCAGACACACAGCAGCACAACCTAACCAAATCAACATAATTATTTATAATGAGGAAGATGAGTGTAATTATTTTATAATGTAAAAAGATGAAACATAAAATATAAAAAATATTAGTGAAAGAATTTTTTCGATATCTCAAAAACTGAATTTTCTATGGGCATTCAAAGTTGGATGTTTTAAAAATCAACTCGCACTTGACCGTTTAGCGCGTGACGTCACACCGCCCGTTACCTCCGCCGGGATGGCATTGCTCCTTCGCGCGCTCATAGACTCGTACAGTCATTTCGAGTTTTATAGAATTATGGAGTAAAAAATACCATGCAGATATTGTATAGTAACCCTTTTATACTAATACAATGGTTAGTGCCCCAGAAAATTACATTTAAAGCTAAGAAAAGCTGATAAATACATAAATGGTGTAAGTTAACGAAAAGGGAGAAATCGTTATCTACAAAAACCAGTCGATATTATTGCAAAGATCATTTTAATGCGAGTACCTACCTAAAGACAAAACACCTACCATTGTATATTTTTCATTACAAATTTTTTATAAAGTATTTTAGTGACATTTTATTTGAAACAGTAGACAAAAAATAGAGAAACAAAACACGAGGCACGCACGCAGATGGGTTACTTAAAAAGTAAATTGAATCCTTTGAAACTTTAAAGACAATAAGACAATACTAAAAACTCTCTACCTACTTTAGCCCTTGTTATTGACTATGTTTTATGGTGGTAAAATAATGTTGTCGCTTCTTTGAGTTATCGATAAAAATCTATACGAACAAAATGTATTAACACATACTTTTCATTCTTGTGACAATCCGCCTGTAGAAGTCAAAGAGATAATAATACTCTAGAATAGAGTTATCGTCATCATCATCGTCATCTCAGCCACAGGACGTCCACTGCTGAACATAGCCTCCTTCAATAACTTCCACATAATATCGCACAGTTGGTAGAGGCCTGCATCCAGCGCCTCCCTGCTATCTTTATCAGGTCGTCGGTCCACCTTGTGGGTGGACGTCCTACGCTGTGTTTTCCGGTACGTGGCCTCCACTCCAGAACCTTTCTGCCTGGGGCAGAGCTGCGGCAGGTTATACAGAAAACTAAGGAAGGAGTATAACTTGCCACTATGCTTGACGTTCGTGGAATATGAGAAGAAGGCCTTCGATTCGATCGAAACTTGGGCAGTGCTGCAGTCTCTCCAGCGGTGCCATATTAATTATCGCTACCGTTGCTGACGATATTGTGGTCATGGCACTCATGGCAGAGTTGCTGGAAGACCTCGGCACAATGCTCAAAGTCCTTAATCGAATATATCGGAACAGGTAGGCATTCGGATGAATACGAACAAAATGAAGCTTATGTCGAACTGCGCCCTACTCAGTTTCGTTTCGGAGCTTGATTCTCGAGATTGTTGACAAGTATTGTCTACCTTAGACAAACGATTAATAGCCCGACGGATTAGCAAGCTGAAATGGCAATGGGCAGCTAGGGCACGTAGCGTAGTACGCCGAATAGAGTTATCTGCAATAGAAATAAAGACGAGAGATACGAAGATTCAAGTAGAACAGAAAAAGAAAGACGTAACAGACTCAAACTATAAAAATCAGGAAAAACGTTGACGACCCTCGATAGAGTTAGAAACCAGTTTTAACTGTGACAAAACAGACTGTACCTTACTTCCGATTCATGATCGTACACTGATTCCATAGAAAGTTACAAAGTGTATACTAATAACTTTTTAAAGTGAACAAAAAAAATCATCAAGCCCGATGGACTGATCTTTGTGTCAGATGGTTATGGTGGTAGTACTACTGACACATATATTTTTGATACTGCCTTGTATAGTTCACATCTTTGACTTTAATAAATTTTAGCTGAGATCCAACTTGCACAACAGTTTTGGTTTCCTCCAATAGCACGCTACTTCGGTACAAGCGGGATCTTCACTACGTCTATACATATAACCTTAAAACCAATTAATGCCATTGTATGTTTGCATTCTTCATTGCTTGCTGCACAAACTCCGCATTCCAGATTTTCCAATTTATTCGTTATCTTCAGCACAAACAAATGTACAATGATATGCCGTAGCTCTAACTTTGTGTTCAGGTGTAGTAACTCTTGTTTTTACTGTACACTGCGGATATAGTCTTTTCAAATGAACTTACCCTACGAGTATTACATTATGTCCATAATTCGATAGTTGGATAGTTAGTCTATAACACGACTGGACGTGATCGTCCAACTCTGTAAAAATAAAATATTAAGACATAACGTTGCTAAATTATTGATGGGTATTATTTTTTATCGATAACCCACAGCAATCTGACTGACAGCACTAGTACTTTTACTTTTAAACTAGATAGAACTTTTATAATCTACCTCAAATACTACAAAAAGCGTAAATACTAAATACTCAATTATTTATTGCATCCATAATAAGAGGTTCACTTACCTTGCAAGTTTTAGAACTTGGATTTCTGCAATAATATAGGTACTTTGCATGTTTTCTGAAAGTATCCGCAACCATAAGTAAATCTACTTTCGGAAGATTATTTGGTTGGCATCAGATACGGTTAATATAAATAAAAAATGTATCGAAATGAACGAAAATAAGTTTACAGAGCGCAGCTAGCACCCGCGCCGCCCGTCCGTCGTTGCCCAACGAGCGGTGTGACGGCATCGCCCGTATTCCAGGGGTGCTATCAGTTTTCGCGCGTTCCCATATTGAATCTATATATATAAAAATGAAACCCGTTTCGCGTTGTCACGGCATCACGTGTGAACGGCTGAACCGATTTCGATAATTCTTTTTTTTAAATGTTTGTGGAAGTCCAAGGATGGTTCTTACGGAAAAAAAATATTAATAAAATCTCTACGCTAAGGCGGTACGAAGTTCGCCGGGTCAGCTAGTTGCTTATAAAATATTCAATTTTCGTGATATCAACAAAATTTTTTCACAGTTAGTCTTATTTTAGCTTAAAGTTTTTGTTAGGGCTGAAAAAGGGGAATAAATTTTGATTTACATCTTCCTCATTATATTAGATATGAACACAAGTTCTATGGTCCCTATTTTACCCTTAAACATGGATAAACTTTTAAAAATGGTATCCCTATTTTTTTTTTTATATATTTAGCCATAGTTAGGCATTGGCATAAAAATTATACAGCATTATGACGGTGTTTTATCAAAAATATTTTTTTACGTAAGTAATGAAAAACCTTAAAAACTGTATTTATAGCCTGACCAGGAACATAAAAACCCTGGCACAGAGGCGCTGCAATTGCATTTGATAGTGCAACACTGAGTACAGTCGTACCTGTGTTAAATTAATAGGCTAACTTTATGTATCAGGATTCAGGATTACAGGCTAATTTGATATTTTCATAAATTAACGAAAAAATATTATTGTAGGTAACCTGGTTTAAATAAATTAAATGACACCATCAATCGAGTTAGTAGGATTTATTTTATTATTCATCAATAATCAAATTCAGAACTTGAATATTCAACTGCAATGTCTGCTCATGAACGCTTCAAACTCGGTACTTCTTTCCCAATTCCATAAAATTCAACACTTAGAAAGTGACAAAAAACTTTAAAATATGTATTTGAAACAAACCACAGCTAATTTTCATAATGGACTGTACTATATACCTTGATTTTTTAGAATCCAGCAGAGATGTAAACAAACACTTTCATACACAATGAGGATCAGTACTGTTGTAGAAAATTCAATAAAACTAGTATCTACGTTAATCTTTAAGACATAAGAAAGATATATCTTTTTGAATTATCCAAATCGGACCATTACTTACGAAGATATTAAGTAATAAACATAGGCCGTTTTTGCCGCTAAAAGTCAACGTACGCAAGGCCGCGTGACGTCATTATATCCGAATCGAGCGCAGCCGGCGTACTAATGGGATACGGGACTATTCCCACCNGGAATATTTTTGTGAAATGGCTCTTAAGTCCGCCACTGTACAGTTGTATGTGCAAAAGTGTAAATAAATAAATAAAAAATAAATAGTTTCAGAAATTTCGTGAATAATCAGGTTAGGTATTTCGCTAGAAGAATAAAATACCTTAATGGTACCCATTGTGTGATTGAACCAATAACGAAGGTGAATGAAATACAGTTAATTACACAATACCCATATGACACAATGGGACGATAGTGAACAATAACTGTCCATTATTATTGTTAGGGAGCCCCCATGCTACTTCAGGTCATCAGACGGTAGATAGAGATGATAAAAGTAAAATCTATACTAATATTATAAAATGAGTGTCTGTCTCTCTTTCACACCTAAACCACTGAACTAATTTTGATGAAATTTGGCAGGGACATAGTTTGAGTCCCGGGAAAGGACATAGGATAGTTTTTATCCCGGTTTTTGAAACAGGGACGCGCGCGATAAAGTTTTCCTGTGACAGACAAAATTCCACGCGGGCGAAGCCGCGGGCGGAAAGCTAGTAATTCCATAAAAACATTTTTTGTAATAATGTTGCCAGGAGTGGCTCGCGATGTCAAATATCTCTAACATGGTCCCCACGGTGACCAGACAGGTTTGGAAGTCCTAATGTTCGGATATGTCATGCATAAAAAAATGTCGCTTACGACATAATTATCCGACGGTCCTCTTCAATTCTGCTGTATCTGCATGAATTCCTATAATTTTATACAAACTAGCTGAAAAAGGTGACTGAATTTCTGCCACCTCTTCTCAGCATCATTCGCTATGTTGTCCTGAAGTGGTGGTGGTGGTAGGGCAAGCTACATATATTTGGGTCGTGCAAAAGTACCCTGAAAAGGGCATTCATACTAATAAAGAATTTGAATTGCACAGAAAAACAGCTACTTTTCAAATAGGTATTATCTGAAAAGTTGTAAACTTTAGTACTGACTCATTCTTACATTTTCTGTTTGTTTGAAATCCAACATTCCTTTGCCCATTGATTTCCCTTCGCAAGCATCTCAAGTATTTTACTGTTTCATAAACTTTTGTTTTAATTTATCTCTCTATTATAGTGTTAAACGGCGATGGAGTGGACTGTATATTATAGATAGGCCTGCCGGTGGTAATCTTATGCAAGAAGCAAGGAAACACTCCAAAATAGGGCCAAAACAGTATATTGCTCAAGACATTATCACTAGAACACAAGAGAGTAAAAGCAACTTCAAAATCTAAAACAATATTTTAAAAAAGTAAAAAAAGCATAAACAATATCAAAAAAGGATTGCTGGCCAAACTGCCAGCAACATAATAGTATGGTATGTTAGACGTAATTCACCTATGTTATCTATTTAATACAAACATTTCAATGATCATTTTCCCATAAGTAATCCCAATTTACTCCAATTCTCTAATTTATCGGATAATTACGATAGTGATGGACACGGACGTGCCAGGCACATCACTATCATTATTAATAATAATTATCCGATCCGTATCCGTGGATTCGGTTTTTGTTGTATTATGAAAAAACTCTGTTTCTCACTGTTGTGTTGAAGAAAACCTATAAATATCTTGATAGTTATTATAACAATAACCGTGTCCGTTGGTCCCATAGAGGAGGAAGAAGCAGGAATACCCTCGCTACGCTAATACGAAATATCTTTTTCTGTATCCGCGGATATTTCGATTCGGCACATCACTAAGCATACATAGTGTAGTGTAGGTATGCCCAGTCAATGATACGAAAAGGTAATGTGCCGCGGCCGTAATTTTAGTCGGAATTGGCTTAATTAGACCTGTCTGGTGTACAGAGGATTGTTATACAGTAGGCTCTCTACATATCTTTAGTTCTATCTCTATCTACTCGTATAGCAAGCAGACTTTGGTTACATAGTAGATTCTTTAGTTACATAGTTTATACTATGAAAACAAGACTTGTTTCATCATCATCATTATTTCAGCCACCTCTGCTGAACATAGGCCTCTCCCAATGATTTCCACATCGCCCGGTTGGCAGCGACCTGCATCCAGCGCCTTCCTGCTGTCTTCCTGCTAACTTAGCTACCCTATGGTGGATAGTGGCGTGGGAGGCTTAGGCCAAATACTCCATTGGCCTCTGGTATATTAGAGAGTGACTGACATAGCCCGCAGAATCGCTAAAATCAAGTGGCAGTGGGCGGGGCACATAGCTCGAAGAGCTGATGGCCGCTGGGGCAGGAAAGTTCTTGAGTGACAATCGCGAGCCGGAAGACGTAGCGTGGGCAGGCATCCCACTAGGTGGACCGACGATCCGGTGAAGGTCGCGGGAGGTGCCTGGATGCGGGGCTACTGTATAAACCCGTTGTACTGAATAAATGACATCGAAATGGGTTAAAAAGAGCTTGTTGTTACAATTACACTGGTTTCCGTCAAATACAAAATTATAGTGTTTTCAATTGTTAACGACACAAATAAGTTAATTTGTATCCAATTTATGGTGTGTTACCCCATCAAAATATTATCTCCTTTCAAAAATGTAATAAATGCAAAAAATAGCTCTATCTGGTGTAAATTCCTTCGTCACCGTGGGCCACGGCATATGCTGAGTGGGGTCCCGTTGCAGTGGGCACTGGGCATCTTGTTGGTGAATGGGTGGCACTGCTCAGTTTACTCTTGTTTTTATTTTTTCTTCTTCCAATATTATGTCTGTCTGTCTGTCTGTGTGATAAGGTTGATGACAGCGCTTAACCTCGCTCTTTGCTGTGCTTCCCTCCATTTGGCGTTCGAGTAAATGGTAAATAACAATGTGGAATGTAATTATAGTATAATTTAATAGGTTATGAGCACTGTTTTTTGCAAATATTTTACAAGTTTAATTGTAAAATGTTTGTAATAAGACTAATAAAATTATGTAACTTATCTCAGCTTCTCTTCACAAATGTTTGTTTGTACACAGACAAAATTTAAACTAAGTTACTGCGTGGATATCTGTTATTGGCTTTCCATAGTGTTAAGTGTCTAATGTTACATTGAAATCTGTAAGCTGTTGATGTCCCTAATAAATAAATAAATAAATTATGCCACTGTCATGTCTATGTAATTGCCCGTATTTGTGTGATGTCCATTGTAATAAATGTATCTTTCTTTCTAAAAATGCCCGATATTTTCAATTTCAACCTTGTCAAAAATGTAAACAAACTTGTGTGTACCTACATCATTATCATTTTAGCCACAGGTTGTCCGGATGTCCTGTCTGTTGAACATAGGCCTCCCCCAATGATTTCCCGATTGGCTGGTTGGCAGCCGTTTCCATCCTGCTTCCTGCAACCTTTATGAGGTCATATGTCTACCTTGCCGTCCATTTGCCCGAAAACTAGAAAGAGTCGATTTTCTGCAGTCGAGAATAAAATAATGCCATGAGGATGATGACGATAAAGGACAAAATATAAATAACATTAATTTCTCTTGTTACAGATCAATGAACGCGCTAACACCCAACGCAACTCCAAATATGGTCACGAAATGAAGCAACGCCATCTACCATATGGAAAGTGAAACTACCACCGCCATCTGGCGGACGATGTGTGGAACCAACTGCTAACGATGCCCAGGCTAAAGTATGCCTCTGTGCTCAGGGTTTTCGTCATTCTGGGCCTGTTTTGTCTATGGGTGCAGATTATGCTCTCTGCCTCGAATGGGAGCATGTACAGAGAGTCAGGTATGTTTTTTTTATTTTGTTTTTTTATTTTTTAAGCCTGTCTAGACAAGTTGCAAATCTCTTTTCTCCGGGGGCTTTTTTTTCTTTATGCGCAAATTGTCAAGCGGTCGCAATCTGCCAAATTCCCAATATGCCAAATTCGCAAAATGTCAATGCGCAAATCTTCAAATTCCCAAAATGTCAAGTTTTAAAAATGTCTTTATATTACGGTTTTATGGTTTCGTATTAAAAAAAAACCTTAACATTTTAATAATTAAAAGTTTTGCCAATTAATTACTTGACTTTTATTATTAAACCTAAACAACTGGACATTTTTAAAACTTGACATTTTGCGAATTTGGCAGATTGCGACCGCATGACAATTTGACAATTTGCGCATAAAGAGTTTTTTTAGCTAACGGGATTTCATTTTGCCACTTGTGTAGGGAAAATGGTAGTGACGTCTTTCGATACTTAGATAATAAACTGATTGATGTTTTTAAGATCCCGGTTAGGCAATTTTTATTTTAAAAAAGATAACCTTATAACCTTTAATCTTAGAGTCGCGCGCAGAAGATTTGTCGACTTTTATCCTACTTTAAAAATAGGAAGTTCATATTCTTGTTCTGTGTGTTCTCAGAACCCCGTCAATAATAAACCATAGAAATATTCTCCCCGATGCGATGGTCCAATAACCTTTTTCAGAAATAATTGAAAAGTAGAAACATAATTGCGTTATTTATTTGTAGGATCGCTTATTTGCAGTCTGACTCAGTTTCTTATTGTTTATTTTTTTTTACAATAAAAAATAAATAATGACTGTTAGTTTTTATAATTACCATAAAAACGCATCGACAAATCTTTTGCGCTTGAGCAATATAACACATTAGAAAAAAATAACCCGTTAAACCCCACAAAAATGGGTCGAATATCAAAAAATACATTTTAACCTGCCCCCCATAACCTTTTTTCAGATATAAATATCACTAACCCTGGACAGGACCTTCTAAAACTAGACACTGTACCGTTGGAAGGTTTTTCTTTTTATTTTCTTTATGTGTTTTTTGTTTATTTCACCTCCATTTATCTATTTGTTCTAAAGTCCGGTTTATCGCTCGCGCGTAATTATATTGCTGTCGCGACTGTGCGTATAATTACGCGCGAGCGATAAATATGGGTAGCTTGGGGTCCTTGTACGAAATTCTATCTGCTCGGCGACCGGACTTTATCAATCTTTTTTTATGTTGTGCTTAATGTTGTATCTTATTTTTATTCTTCTTATCTGTACAGTCAGCGTCAAAATTAAATAGTGACACCTATTGATGTGCCGTTCCCGAGAACGCTCTCTCAACTGAGAATATTCTCGGGAGCGTTCCCGGGAGCGTTCTTCTAAGTGAGAAAGGTTGAGAATCATGTTTATCAAATGGAAATAAACAAACTTTCATAAGTAAAATAGTATTAAATTAAGTCAACAGATAAGTGTATATTAAACAATACACTCTATTTGCAGTGGAAGGCTATATTCTCAGTGTTCCCGAGAATATTCTCGGGAACTTTCTCGGCAATATTCCCGGCAACTGCACCTTTATTATATTTTATTTTTTTCGTTGTGAAATGTCGTTTTAATGATAATGTAAGATGACAGAAATTTCTTTTTACACGTAATTAAATAATGTAACTGTAAATTTTTTCGTTTTTAACACGCTCTTATTAGGTCGTCGTGTATGTAACTAACTATGTAATGGAATCTTAGAATCTGAATCACACGCACTCCTAAGTCTTGTATCATCATGAAACTTGGCAATTATATTATGTAGATTAAAAATGACAATACAATATTGTGGTACCAGCTGGTCTGATGATGGGACTGGAAGGTGGCCAAAAGAACTCCTAAACGAAACGGCGGAAACTCGTCGAGTTTGGGTTTGTTGGATTTGTCTTTTCGAGCACTTTAATGCTAGATGATGTCCTGATGATTTTTGGCTTTTTAGTGTTGTTAATAATTAAAAGCGTGTTTTTAGTTTTTTAAACTATTCTTATTTGACATTAAGGGCATATTTCACAATCGCTTAGTAAGGGCCTGTTTCGCCACTTCTGGATAAGTTGTGGATATCTGAATATCTGTTAATGTCGAAATATTGCCAAATAAAACAAGCGATCTTTTTTTCACTGATGATCTGATGACATGATGCAGTTCAGTCAGATTACGCAGCGAGTAATTTAATTTTAGCTATTCAATCAAATACTCACGATGGCAACCGAAATCACCCGAATTGATTCTACGACATTCTATTCGAACGGATTCGATTTTCGAACTTGTCTTGTCCAGTCTACTAGACGCACTGATCGCGTTCGAAGCACCTGTGCGGCGCTAAACTCGTCACGACATGCAACAAGACAATGGGCCAACTGTCCGGCCGCCGGATATCCGGCTATCCGGCCTAGCAGCTCGCCTGATATCCGGTATCCGGTATCCGGCCAAACAACTATCCGTTTCATCTCTAATAATAATATACGCTTCGGCTGATTATACGGAAGATCAAGGAGTATAATCAGCCACTTTGCGTTTGTGAACTATGAGAAAGCCTTCGATTCGATTGAGACATGGACAGTGCTTCAGTCTCTTCAACTGTGCCAAATTGACTATTGATACATTAAAGTGTTGAAAGGCTTATACAAACACGCCACAGTAACAGTCCGTTTTAAGATCAGGACCCGAAACCTATCCAGTTGCAGCGAGGGGTGAGACAGGGAGACGTCATCACCACCGCCCTGGAAGATGTTTTCAAGCTTCTGGGCTGGAGCGGATTCAGCATAAATATCAACGGCGAGTACATCACCCAGACAGCAGACGATATCGTAGTCATGGCTGAGATCGTGGAAGATCTAGATACAATGCTCGATGGCCTCAATAGAGTCTCTCAACAAGTGGGTCTCAAAATGAACATGGACAAGATTTAAAAATCATGTCTAAAGACCGTGTTGCACCCACTCCTCTAAAAGTTGGAGACTCTACACTCGAAGTTGTTGACAATAATGTATACCTGGGACAAACAGTCCAGTTAGGTAGGTCCATCTTCGAAGAAAGGTCAATCATCGAATCCAGCTCGGCTGGGCAGCCTTCGGGAAGCTTCACGATATTTTCACGCGGCTTCTCCGTCGCATCGCCGCTCCGCTTTAAATCCACTTTGAATCCGCTTGCAATCCTCCAGGGTGGCAAGGGCCTTAAAACTCAGCGGCACACTGATGTTCAAATACCGTAGCCAAGTCCTAAAGCCGCGGCACGCGTTCGCCACGAAAAGAGTGAGCAAGACAGCAATATCTCACTCACACGTTTCATGCCTTGTTTATAACGACCAGTCTTAACGCTCAGTTAATAAATCATCGAAACATTACAAATAATATCACATATAAACAACAAAATTAAAATTAAAACTAAATGTATTCTGTCGAGAACACTGAGAATATTCCCGGGAGCGTTCTCGGTTCTCGAGAATATTCTCAGTGGGAATATTGCCGGGAACGAGAACTTTCTCAGCGGCACATCTCTAGTGACACCCAAAGCAGCCAAAGTTCGCAACACGTCTTTGTCACAGTTGGAAGGTTGTGTTTTCAACTTTTTGGCCACTTTGGGTGTCACGAACTACATATTTGACCCTGACTGTAGTATTCTAACTACTTCACTCTATTTTTCCACTTTGTTAACTATTATGTTCATGTTTGGTAACAAATTATTGTTATCCAACGAAACGAATCGCTTTCGTCTTCGTGTTCACTGTCTAGAACGTTTTCGATACGCTAGATTGGCGAATCGAATAGCTATCTACACTAATAAGAAAGTAATTTTGTCTGTTACATTATCACGGCTAAAATATATTGTCCATCTGCTTCGAGACCCAGTGACTTGACCCACTTTTAGCTTGGTCCACGGGCCAAGTCGCTGTTTGGCGTTTTATGAATTTTACAATACAATGTAGGCAGAAATACCGACTTGCTTTCATCTCATTCACCAATAACCATTCTGTGCTAACATAATCTTTGTCTACCTTTTTCTTTCTCTCTTGCTGGGTTGGAAACATATTTAAAGTTATTATACGCGGAATAGAGCAACAAAGAACTGAGCGAGCGAGATGTCACTAGCAGCAACACTGTGTGATAAAAAAAGATGCGTGATTCGACGCCGTCACGTCAAACAGAACCGTTTTTTGCAACTATTTGACAGTTCAGAGGCACTTAGTGGCACGCTGAAAATTTGAACTCTGAATTTTCTGATTTTACTTGCGTGAGATCGTGGATGTTTATGAGAAATATTGCTCCAGAAACGTGGTGACTGGTTCAGTGATTGATTTATTGTACAAAACAGTGAAATTATTCTTGGCACTGACACACAAATTATATCCAGTGTCATCCAAAATCGGTTTCGTTTGACAGCTCGTGGTTTTTGCTCTATCCCGAAGGAATATTAACTTTATGGTAGGAAAGGGATAGCATTTGTTTTAGCTACTATAATGTGTTTATTTTAACAATGCCAACATTTGGACAAATGTTTGAACAAATGTATTTGTAATTTTCTATGGTTTAATAATTAATTTTTGATGATTTGTCCCAATGTTGAGCTAAAAGTAATTGGGTGTAAACTGTAAATGTTACTAAAATGGTAAGTATAGCCTGACCAGGAACATAAAAACCCTCGCCATGTTGCGGAAAACTAATGGTACTAATTTCTTTTAATGGCAACAGTAACTGAAAACTTCATTGACATGTCACCTTGCTGTCAAAGTGTAAACAAACTTTATTTTAAATGTGCGCAATTGATTTTGTGAATTAAATTGCTAAAATCTTTTTATAGTCGTGAAAGAAAAGGGGTTCACAATGTGTTAAAGTATTTGTCAAAGAGAAAAACTAAGGGTTCGGATAATATTTTCATTGAATAATGTTTCCGACACAGTTTGTCAAATTGACTGACATGTGTATCGTATAGTACAGTCTACTATGAAAATTAGCTGTGGTTTGTTTCAACTACCTATTTTAATTTTTTTTTGTCACTTTCTAAGTGTTGAATTTTATGGAATTGGGAAAGAAGTACCGAGTATATTCAAGTTCTGAATTTGATTATTGATGAATAATAAAATAAATCCTACTAGCTCGATTGATGGTTTCATTTAATTTATTTAAACCAGGTTACCTATAATAATATTTTTTCGTTAATTTATGAAAATATCAAATTAGCCCGTAATCCTAAATCCTGATACATAAAGTTAGCCTATTAATTTAACACAGGTAGGACTGTACTCAGTGTTGCACTATCAAATGCAATTGACGCGCCTCTATGCCAGGGTTTTTATGTTCCTGGTCAGGCTATATAATGTTTTAACTGAGCTAATAAGTGAATGTAATAATATGCTAGTTTCCTACAAAAAAGCTTTAGTCCGTCAATTATATTATCAAAAAATATTGGACACATTTTTTTTTTACTTGTCAATCAAACAAATTACGAAGTTGTGATGGGTGACGTCTCCTCTTCAAGGGCCTCTTCTTTTGAACTTTGGCACGCTTTATCTCTTTAAATTTTCAGTAGTTTGAAAAGTGAAAGATACGTGTCGAGTATTTTTTGATAAGTTAACTGACAGACTAATTTAAACTTTTTCTTTTTTACCCAGAAAAATCCCTGACAGACTATATCGGCCGACAGTTTCGTCGGCTAAGCTTCCAATTTGTATGGGGAATCGGCCGATACCAAATCGGTGTAATGTGCGCACTTCCATACATGTCCATTGTCCATACCAGAGTAAATACAAATGAGTAGGTCATCTTCATAGAAACGCACCGAGCGCGGTTTGTATGTGAGCGCGCCAATATACGTATGTGGCGCGCACGCACACACTGACGAAATTTAGCGTGGATTTTCGTTGCAACATAACTCCTATCCCAGACTGCATAAGATCCAATTCCACCTCGTCTAAAGAGCAGGTCTCTGCTTCCAGAAGAGCTGATGAACGCCAATGAGACGTCAGAGCAAGTCCTGGCGCTGGTTCCACCAGAACTACACAAGTATCTTCAAGTGCACCCGAAGAACAATAGTGGTAAGTCTTCAAACTTCTTGCTGGATTATAGGCTTTATGTCATAGGTAACGGGACTATTCCCACCTCTCGTTCCCACCTGCAACTCCTGTGTAGCCAGGATCTACAGCTTGACCGCCATAAAAACCCAACCAATGAAGGTCATGTTATGTCATAGGTAACTTATCATCATCATTTCAGCCACAGGACGTCCACTGCTGAACATAGGCCTCCCCCAATGATTTCCATATCGCTCGGTTGGTAGCGGCCTGCATCCAGCGCCTTCCTGCTACATTGGAATCATTAAGAAAGCCTTTCATTGGAATAAGGTTGTGCTATCAACTTTTTGGTCACTGCACTGAAAAAAGTTGTAACTTACAGGTTAAGAAAATCCTTATGAAAAAAGGATACTATAAACGATTATTTAAATGACAAGAGTGCGTGGACTTCACCTGCCTAGCTCGCACTTATTACGTGTCATGTAAGCTACAAAATACTGTACTGGATTGAAAAAAAGGTTGAAAAAGGTGACTGAGTTTCTTTCGCCACTTCTTCTCAGCACCAGCCCATAATATGTTGTCCCGAAGTGGTGGTAGGGCAAGCTATATTTGGGACGTGTATAAGTGCCCTGGAAAGGGCCTTTGTACTGAATAAACTATTTATTTCATAACATTTCCCGAGAATTCTGACCTTGCCTTAAAATTGATACGGAAAACTAGTGATAATGAATACGCAAAACTTTATCAAATATTATTTCGGTGATAATATCGTATTGCCGATAAGTAGTACAATCAAATATGTCGGTCAGTAGACGCACAGTACAATGTGGCATACTTTTAATGCATGAAAAAATACTAATAATATGAAGGCTCAAGGTCACCCAAAGGGTGATAGAGCGTGCTATGCTTGGAGTTTCCCTGCGTGATCGAATCAGAAATGAGGAGATCCATACAAGAAGTAAACTAACCGACATAGCTCGAGAATCCGCAGGAGAACCAAAGTAACTGACATACTCGTATCGTAGCTCGCAGAATTGCCATATGTACTTAAGTGCCAGTAGGCAGGACATAGCTCGTAGAGCTGATGGCCGTTGGGGTAGAAAAGTTTCTTGAGTGGGGATCACTGATTGTAAATCATAGTGTAGGCACTCTTATGGCGGAGTTTTGGGCTGACACTGTGTAGGTTGGAATGACTGGAATGGAGGCCGCGTACCAGAAAACGCAGCGTGGGACGTCCACCTTCAAGGTGGACCGACGACATCGTAAAGGTAGCAGGGAAGCGCTGGACGCAGGCCGCTACCAATCGATCAACATGGAAAGCATTGGGGGAGGCCTATGTTCAGCAGTGGACATCCTATGGCTGAAATGATGATGATGATGATGACTGTGTAGGTTTGTTGTCGACACGAAAAGAAGAAGAATAGTGTAGGCACTAGGCAGGCAGTTGTAGGTGGGCCGATGATCTGGTGAAGGTTGCGGAAACAGCGGGAAGCAACTGGATGCGGAAAGCGCAGGACCGGGCATTGTGGGAATCTTTGGGCTTTGTCCAGCTGTGTCGGCACGGCATTTGGTTGAGACGACTATGTCGATGACATTACCATTTTTTTTTCTTTATAATCTATCTGCGATCAGCCATCAACCTTTGTCAGATTGGATTGAATTGGTAATAATGACAGTTCCGGCTCTGCACATCCCATGATGTGTCACCTCGATTCCTTTACAATAACTCTTCAGATCGATGCTATTCGCTTTCTCCTGAGCCTGAATGTAGAGTTCTCAGAATTTAGAAGGGATGCAGCAAGTACATTTTCATGACGCTGAAGTCTTTGTTTGTAAGCTTTACAGGACTTTTCTACAACCTCTTTGACGTTTGGTATCTCTAGGTATTCAACAGTTCCAAATGAAACAAATAAATATGACATGGAATTTAAGATTAGGGTGAAGTCAAGTCGTGGGGAGTGTAGACCAAATCCTCCATTTACCTCTGGTAAATTAGAGGGTAGAGCTCCTGCAGTGAATGATAAATGACCTGATGAAAAGTCACAAGAGAAACTACTGCATCTTTTTACACTATTTCCCTAAAATGATAGCATCAAAAGTATTGTTGGATTTTTATGAACCATACGCATGCCGGATCCAAAATTCGTCATATCTGATATTGTAAAGGCATTAAATTAATCTAATATGTACCTATCTGATAAATAAATCGCCTTATTTCATTGAGTAAAAGCAAGATAAAAAAGAATGAGGGTTTTCGCGAATGACAAATCCGCCAGATCCGCAAAACGTAGACGCGAGGTCCAAATGCTGCATGATTGGTTATTTTTGACATGACATTGACAGATATGTCAAAATCCACCAATCACGCAGCAGTCAGACCCCACATTCACGTCCCGCCATCTAGCGGATATTTCATTCGCGGAAACCCTCATTGAAAGAAGTCTTTCGGTGCTAAGTCATTGGTCCGCTACCAAGCCAATCTGGAAACCATTGGGGGAGGCCTATGTCCAGCAGTGGACGTCTTGTGGCTGGCTGAAATGATGATGATGAATTGGTGTGAAAGTCGAATTTATAGTTAGCGACAATAGAAACTGACAAGTTTTGTAATCAACTCTTAACTAAAGCCAGCACGTAGAATTTTGTCCAATGACCCCAAGCTACCCATCCTTATCGCTCGCGCGTAATAATATTGCTGTCGCGACTGTGCGACGGGCGCCCGCAGTGAGTGTGCGAGCGCGACAGCAACATAATTACTCGCGAGCGATAAGGATGGGTAGCTTGGGGTCATTGGACAAAATTCTACGTGCTTGGTCCAATTCGCTATTGGTCCAATTCACTATTTTTTTTTCTGCAAATAGTAGTAAAAGTTGATTAACCTCCTTATTATTTTCATTTTGGATATCCTTTTATTTTGGACCAATTACGGATTGGACCAATAGCGAATTGGCCCAATCGCGAATTGGACTAATCGCGAATTTGTAATGTTTTCATGATTGGACCAATTGCGAATTGGACCAGTCGCGCCTAAACGCTTGCAACACGCATGGCTTACGTCCTGCTCAAGAAGAGCCCTTAAAGAACATGTACGAAAGGTTAAAATTCAATGATTCCTTCTTTTTTCAGCGAACTCAACAGAGCGGTCTGGCCCAAAGAACATATCAGACATTCGCAGAGCCATCGAGAAGTACAACGATGCGCAGTACATCCACAATGAGGACATCTTCGGGCCGGTGCAGAACGATACCATCATTATAGCTATACAGGTAAGGTTGATATTGCATTGACAGCGATTGCCAACTATAGCTGAAGCGAGAGTTGAAGCGAACAAATAAAAGCAAAGATTTGAATTGCCCTCCGCACTAACGTCTTAGGCCCGGTTTCGGAGAAGTGTTTTGAATAACCAATCAGATTTCATTATTTACACTTCTCTCCGCTCCGCGCCAAATTCATCATCATCGTCATTATTTCAGCCACAGGACGTCCACTGCTGAACATAGGCCTCCCCCAATGACTTTCACATCGCACGGTTGGTAGCGGCCTGCTTCCAGCGTCTTCCTGCTACCTATCAGGTCGTCGGTCCACCTTGTGGGTGGTGGACGTTCCACGCTGCGTCAAATTGCCGCTGTCAAATTCTGTAAAAAATTTGACGGCCCGATACTTTTTCGCCTTGACAGAAACCGGGTCTTGCAAGTCCGTTTTATTGTATACGTTTTTATTCGGTGAAGCACGAGTAGTTGTACGAGCGTGTTTACACACTCGACTGTACTTCACTAAGTCTAAAATACGTGTATGGGACCTAGCTCACAGGGACACATAGCTCGTGGAGACGATGGCCGTTGGGGCAGAAAAATTCTCGAGTGACGACCACGGGCTGGAAGACATAGCGTGGGCAGGCCTCCTACTAGGTGGACCGACGATCTGGTAAAGGTCGGGGGAAGAGCCTGGATGCGGGCAGCGCAGGACCGTGCATTGTGGAAAACCTTGGAGGAGGCATTTGTCCAGCAGTGGACGAACGACGACGAAACTAACGAACGAACGATGGGACCTAGTTCGTACAATTATATACGTCATTACAATCAAATCAAAGTTTATTGCCCAAATCAGGTGCTAGGAGCAGCAGAAACAAGTAGATAATTTGTTGAACAAAATTTATTAACCTTTAGAACTTGACTCTAAGGTTTAATTAATCTGCAAGAAACTTTCCTGGTTTGTGAGGTGACTCAAGAGTTAAGAATAGAAGACAATTTTTGCCAAGACTGACAAGCGCCGTAGACTGAAATCTAGGTCAAGAACTTAGGGACAGGCATCTTCCTCCTAGCCAGAACCAAGTCCTTCCCTTTCAACCCAGTCAGACTGATCCTCTTCGGGACCAGCCTTGTCTCCTTAGGGACCGTAACCTTCTTTTTCTTCGTCGGTTCTTTCTTTTTCTTCGGCTTTTTCTCTTTTATCTTCTTCATTGGGGACCCTGGGCGGTGCTCCATCCAGATCATCTGGGCTGATTCTGGTATTCCGGTTTGGAAGCGGAATTTTCGGGGAATCTGGAATGAATGACCAAAAGTCATCAACATCAGCATAATATAGTATACTGGCTTTCCGCCCGCGGCTTCGCCCGCTTGGAATTTTGTTTGTCACAGAAAAACCTTGTCGCGCGCGTCCCTGTTTCAAAAACCGGTATAAAAACTATGTCCTTTCCCGGGACTCAAACTATTTCTATGCCAAATTTCGTCAAAATCGGTTCAGTGATTTAGGCGTGAAAGCAAGACAGACAGACAGAGTTACTTTCGCATTTATAATATTAGTATAGATAGGCCCTTTCCCATGCCAATCCAGTTTGGATCCTACATTATTGTCTCCCGCATAACTGGACGTGTGTTCACACGACAGCATCCCGTTTTTTTATAGATGACCCACGCTGAACTGTCCCACCAAACTCAATGACAGGGGGGCGCTACCATCGTTCAACTATATGGTTTCCAACATGGCAAAAATCGGAACCAGCAATTCGGTATTGACGGTGGCGCCCCACTGTCAATGTCATGCATAGGACAGTTCAGTATTTTGGAACTATAGCTACGGAAGCTGCTAGTGACAACACTTCTTCTAAACATTAAACTGGATCCTATTTTTCACTGGTCCAGTTTAATGACAAAACCGAACTCCAAATTCGTAGCTATCCGATTATACGGGACACTGCAAACGGAGGGATCCTGCAGGATAGCTCGTAGAGCTGATGGCCGCTAGGGCAGAAAAGTTATCAGAGTGGCGACCACGGGCCGGAAGACGTAGCGTGGGCATCCTCCCACTAGGTGGACCGACGATCTGGTGAAGGTCGCGGGAAGAACCTGGATGCGAGACCGGTCGTTATAGAAATCCTTGAGGCATTTGTCCAGCAGTGGACGTCATTCGGCTGAAACGATAAGTGCCCTGAAATGGGCCTAACATACTATTGAAGAATTTTATTTTTAAGCTCAATACCTGATACTCCTTGCAAACCTCTTCCATCTTCTTGTAGTGAGGAATGTGGACGTCCGACTTCTGTTTCTTTACTCTAGCGAACATGAGCTTCGGGAAATCCGGCTTGTGGTACCTGAAATTGACAAATAAACTCATTTATTTTCTGCAAATAGGCTTTTAAAAAGCGCTTTTACACGTTCTAGTTTAGAACGCGCAACGAAAGTTGAGGCAAGTACAGTCAGAATACACAAGACAAGCGTATACAGTCAAATCTTTACCTGTGTTGATCACCTCAAGTCTCGCTGCGCGAGTTATATTGCTTTGACCCTACCACTTCTTCGGGACAGTAAATGGGCCAGTGCTGAGAAGCAGCGCAAGAAGCTAAAATGATTTCAAATGTAAAACTACCTCGTTATAGGTGATGTGATATTTTTAACGCAGTAGACTAAGGTTCTGTCACTTTTACTATCTAACGCAAACTTAGTCAGTGCTTGGGTTATGTGAGCGGTACGGGAGGGGTGACATATGACGTGCAAGAGCGTCTGAAGCATATCTGAAGTCTCGCTGACTTTTGACGTCACCAAAACATCCCCGTGCGCGCTCCCATACCTCCGACACTGGTTCAGTTAGGCACTAGACCTGTAGTACATAGTTGATAAAAAACATTACCAGACCAAATCCCAGTGGTCCAAGTACACCGGCTCTGGCAAAATGATCTTCATCCATCGAAGAACGTCGCATCTGGAATAAAAAAAGATGAAATTACATCATCATCATTTCAGCCACAGGACGTCCACTGCTAAACATCGGCCTCCCCCAATGATTTCCACAATGGCCGGTTGGTGGCGGCCTGCATCCTTTATGAGGGCATCGGTCCACCTTGTGGGTGGACGTCCTACGCTGCGCTTTCCGGAACGTAGCCTCCAGTCCAGAACCTTGCTGCCCCATCGGCCGTCAGTTCTGCATACTATGTGCCCTGCCCATTGCCACTTCAGCTTGCTAATGCGTCATTTATTATCTTGAAATAGGTTTTTAAAAGGTTCTTTTACACGTCCCAGTATTACTAACCCCTACTGCTGCAAAATGTAAGTTGTATACGGGACTATTCCCACACCTCGTTCCCACCGCTGCAACTCAGTAGCCAGGATCTACAACTTGACCGCCAATAACACAACCAGTGAAGGTCACAAGGTTAACCTGTCGTTGGACCCGCAACAAAATTAATCAGAAGAACGTAGGAGGAGTTCGAAGTTAAGGTTCAGGTTAATATAGATCGTTTCATCCACGAAGACGCGTCCCACCAATTTTTGGTCGAGGGAAACGCGGGGTGCGGGGAGTGTGATCTGAGCAATCCGAGCGTCATTATCGTAGTGTGCGTGTGCACTCATGCGTGATTAGCGTGTACCGATAACACTCAAACATTAGCGGAAGAATGGTGGGGCGCGTCTTCGTGGATGAAACGATCTATAAATTATATGTTTAGTTACCTGCTCCAATTCTGCCTGATCCCCCAAGTGGGTCCCGTCCGGGAATTGAACCATGTGCAATGCGTGAGCGGTTTCCGTGGTGGTAAACCGACACTCCTGGCGAACCGTACGAAATCCGTGCCGAATTCTGCTCTTACTTGCTTGGTTATCCTCTGGAATGGTGGATTTTTGTATTATAGTTCTAGCGCTAACCGCATGAAGATTATTGTTCGTTTCATCCACGAAGACGCGCCCCACCAATTTTTGGTCTCGGTCGCGCGAGGTGCGAGGAGTTTGATCCGAGCAATCCGAGCGGCATTATTGTAGTGTGCGTGTGCACTCATGGATAATTTAGCGCATTAGCGGAAGAATGGTAGGGCGCGTCTTCGTGGATGAAACGATCTCTACATACCTTGATATGATAGAAGTCATGTATGTTGATCTCTGGCAGATGCGAAGGGTCTTCCAGCATGAGTAACCTTAGTCCGTTGATGTGGTTATTCAGTATACATTCCTGAAAATAAAAAAGTCATTTAATATTTGTCCTGCATCACCTGATGAAAGTGACGATCAGGCGAAGGTGGAAGCGAGCTTCACCCGGAATCCGCAACCACAGAGGAACTGGCTATCTTACCTCTTAACTGCTGGAACACAACAATACTGTTAACATTATTGTTATGGCGACAGACTTAGGTAGCAACCAGGTGAACTTAGAACAGCCAGCATCTACAGCTTGACCACCAATGAAAACCCAACCAGTGAAGGTCAAGTTTGTCCCGGGGGAAAGTTAAACTGTCATTGGACCCGCAACGAAATTAATCAGAAGAACATAGGAGGATTTAAAGTTAAGCTTCGACTTCACTCCATTGCAAAGCGGATGACAGGTGACTTACCCTATACTGAGGCAGTCCAACAGTGTCCTCCATCCAATCAGCCACTTCTTCCACACTCCAATTGAAGGCTTCAGGAAACCTCAAGGTGTCTACCACAGCTGCTGCCAACTCATACAACGTTGGTGGCGATTTGAGACAGGCTATGAGCTTCCTGAAATAGGCAATCTTTAATAGTGATGTGTCCTGGGTAAAAAGCAGTAGTTTGATGAATTAGTCCGTCAGTTAACTCTGAAAATTGTCAATGATAAAGCACGCCAAAACTCAGAAGTAGGGACTTGTGACGTCACTCCGTTGCAATATGTAGCATAGTGTGACGACGCGGAAATGTTCTCCAGTTGCTGCTACATTAGAGAGGGAGGAGCAAGACCGCTCCTGCAATGGAGACAAAATGACATGTAGCCTTATTCACGTAACAAAACTTCAACGACAACAAACTGAGTTGCGATCCTATCGAGTAATCGTTCTATCAAAATGACACTTGTGAATACGGATTTAGAACTGACGGACGCTGACGTTCAGAAGTCGTCTCATTGAAAAACTTCAATGAGACGACTTCTGAACGTCAGCGAGATCTTGACTGTCAAAATACGTGAATTAGGCCACTGATGATGGTGACCGACATACTTGGAGACGACTAAGGAATTAATATGCGACTATCAGGCCTTCCCATCCCGTCTGGCCAGCGTGGGAAGTGCAGGCTATACCCTCAATTTGCCTTTGGTATTTACCAAAGAGAGAGAGAGTGTCTTGCTCCTGCAGTGGAGACTAAATGACCTGATGATGATTCATACTCGGGTTTGCGAACGTCAAGTCTCCCTAAGAGTAGGCGCACACCGTTGATTTTTCGTCGGCCGATAGTTTAATCGGGCAGTTGATCAGTATGGGCATGTATGGGAGTGCGCACACTACGCCGATTCGATTTGGCCGATTCTTCATACAATTTAAAATCGGGCACAACTATCGGCCAACTAAAAATCAATGATGTGCGCCTACTCTAACCCGTCTGGCCAGCGTGGGGAGTGTAGGCCAAATTCTCCATTTGCTGCTACATTACAGAGTGACGTGCTCTTGAGACTAAATGACCTGACGATACATACATACTTGGGTTTGAGAACATCAGGGCTCCCCAACCCGTCTGGCCAGCATAGATAGTGTAGGACTAATCCTCCCAATGCCTCTGATAAATCAGAGAGAGTCGTGCTCCTGAAACGGATACAAAATGACCTGACGATACATACTTGGGTTTGACATAAGGATCCTCTTTCGGGTAGCAAGGACACTCGGCACAAGTACTTCTATCGGCAGAAGGGAATATGATTGGTCGTCCAGGAACTATCACAGAGGGCGCTCGACGCGGTATAACTATCTTCTTGGGCTTGCGACGGGGTGGAGGCGCTTCTGATTTCTTTTTTGCCTGTAATATCAGTGTAACAGTTACTTTAGTCTGGTCGCCGAGCACGTAGAATTTTGTCCAATGACCCCAAGCTACCCATCCTTATCGCTCGCGCGTAATTAGGTATATTGCTGTCGCGACTGCGATGGGCGCCCGCAGTGAGTGTGCGAGCGCTACAGCAACATAATTACGCGCGAGCAATAAGGATGGGTAGCATGGGGTCATTGGACAAAATTCTACGTGCTCAGAGACCGAGATTTAACAGTACGAATTTCTCCCATATTGTGACTAACAGTCCCGTTATAGTTAAGCTATAGATCGTTTCATCCACGAAGACGCGCCCCACCATTCTCCCGCTAATGTTTGAGTGTTATCGGTACACGCCAAAATTGTCTATAAGTGTACCCGCACACTACAATAATGACGCTCGGATTGCTCGGATCAAACTCCCCGCGCCCCGTGCGACCGAGACCAAAAATTGGTGGGGCGCGTCTTCGTGGATGAAACGATCTAAAGCCCGGTCTGTGAGCACGTAGAATTTTGTCCATTGACCCCAAGCGAGCGATAAGGATGGGTAGCTTGGGGTCATTGGACAAAATTCTACGTGCTCACAGACCAGACTAGCAGTTCCAGTGGTGGGAACGAGAGGTGGAATTTGACGACAATCAACTTCTGCCTACTGAACTAAAAAATCTGTTTTGTTACAAACCACTGCAATTTCTTCCTCTTCTTCCATTTGTAATTACTTTTATTCAAAAAAGTCTCAAAAATATCTAAATTAATGTAATACTTGCGCTCAAAATGATTTGTTTATTTACGAAATGTCACTGTGATGGTTTTGTCAAATGTCATCTTATTTTACCGATAGAATAAAAAAAGAGGATTGATTTTTTAATTTTGAAAGAGTTTAGTCGTGCATGCAGCTCTGCAAATAAGGTTATAACTCTAATGAATCGATTTCGTCGATCGAATCGACCCAGGATTTTTTTTATAGTTTTTACCCCAGTTTTTAAAAGGGGCCACTCGCGATCATGTTTTTCTATGACAGTGGAGCTACTNAGGCCTATCTGATTTGTTTAGAAGACAACAAAGTAACGAGGTGTAAAAGAAAAGTTCAGAAAGGCCTAGCTAGAGAGAATATTATTGGTTTAGAAGACGACAGATCTAAAACAAGGAACTTACCCCTTTCTTCTTCAAATAAAACTACCACGGATATCAACACCAACTGTTTCACATGTAAGAGAAATGCATCTCCGCACATAAGTTAACCGTGTTCCTTGGTTGATCAGTCTCGATTAACTTTTGCACATCACGAGCTAGTGATGTGCTACAAGTGTTTATTGCATTTTTACACCTGACCACGTATACTCCGCTCCAGTGGACCGAGACTCTCACCTGCTTAGGGGGCGTCCATAAATTACGTGAGACTTTTAGGGGGGGGAGGGGGTCAACGAAAACCTCACTAAATCTCACGTGGGGGAGAGGGGGGGTCTCGGAAAATATCACGTAATTTTTTCCGCAAGAAATAGAGTAAAATTGCCAGAAAACTGGGTTATTGAAGTAAAAAAAATGATTTTTTTTATGATGATAATGACAATTTATTCTAAACCGTCTAATCAAATTAAACTAAAAATGCCTCCATCTGCATTTGTGAACACTAAAGATGCAGAATATGTCGAAATTAAGAAAATTCGAAATTAAAAAAAAAACGTCATCTGCATCGCTATTGCGTAAAAATTGGCCAAGTGCGTGTCGTGGCACGCGCAGTGTAGGGTTCCGTAGTTGACCGTCGTTACCACAATATATTTCAGAAGCAAGCAATTACTTCATCTAAAGTCATTTTTCATATTTTCTTCTAAGGAATTTTTACTGGCTAAAAAATTTTAAAATACATGAGTCAAATGACTATTACTCTTAAACTAAGTAATGTATCTTAACCGCTATAGTTTTCCTTGAAAAAATTCATCCTCACTTTACATGCAGGGGAGCTACCCTAGAATTTTTTTTTTTCAAAATTTTATTTTACTGTTTTGCCAGCGTGATTAATATACATACCTTCACAAAATTACAGCTCCCCAGTGCCAATAGTTTCCAAGTGAAACCTCGGACAGACATATCGAAACTATAAGGCCCAGAACAGACGGTGAAACGCAACTGCAACGAAACTGCAACTTTCTGATGATTCTGATGAATGAAACAAACTGAAAGTTTCAAACTGGTCGCGTCATGTGTGGTCTCTCAACGGACGCTATGGCAGAAACTTAGATGCAACTCAAAAGTAACAAGCAGTTGCAGTTTCGTTGCAGTTGCGTTTCACCGTCTGTTCTGGGCCTTAGGGTTCCTTGTCAGGACTACAGAACCCTAAAAAACGACATTACATACGTATGAAAGTATTATTTATTCGTAGTTAAAGTAACCAATAGTCAAATTTGACAGATGTCAAATGACAAGTGGTTAAATAAGTAACAGAAAAAAATGATTTTATAACAATGTTTAACTTGACTTTTAGTACATTTTTTAACTATTAGTTTACATTTTATTAATATTTAACCATTAGTAGCAAAATTTAACAATAGGGATGTATCCTGGGTAAAAAAGCAAGAGTTTTAATTAGTCCGTCAGTTAGCTTATCAAAAACTACTCGACACGTATTTTTTACTTTTTAAAACTAATGAAAATGTAAAGAGATAAAGCGTGCCAAAGTTCTAAAGTAAAGACCCGTGACGTCAATGAGTGCGTAAAAGTGCAGCACTTTGTGGTCGCGCGGAACTTCAACGCTTTATAACTTTGTAATTATTTGTTTGATTGACAATTCAAAATATACGTGTCCAATATTTTTTTATATTAAAATTGACGGACTAAAAAAATTTTTTTTGGTAACTAGCCTATTACTTATTATAACTATGAATAAAAAAACTGATCCTAGGTTGATGCAATTGCTTGTCTTACTAAACGACGCACAGTGGTCCCGATTTAATAAAACATGGACATTGATGCTAGAGGCACGAAAAATTTTTTGATGGTTACTGCTATGATAACTAATAAGGCAAAAAAATATTACAATCCTACGACGTCTATTTCCTAGTAAAAAAAAATATATACATATTTTTTGTATGGAAGAAATTACGTTTCTGTCAATTTTTCGAAATTCTTTAACGATGTCAAGATGCCGATCACACATGTTATAAAACAAGTGATTCTGAGTATTTCATGCGAAGATACTTGTCACTTATCTCTGCGTACTTTTGAGTTATCGAGGGTTTAAAAATCGATTTTTTTATATTAAATATTTCCACGAAAAATTGCCAGAATTACAATATGGTGTATAAGGGACACTTTTGATGACACATAACAACGACTCGAACTCGCGCGCGCTCGTATGCATCAACTTTTACTAAAATAAAAAAAAAACATCCAAATTTTTGACCGGAAGTCGTTATTTCCACTTTCGACATTTTTGGACCAAATCTCCGAAAGCATGGCAACACTGGAGAAATTTCTTCACCCAAGCGACACCTCTTGACAAGACACACAAACGCCTCATACAACTCGTCTTTCCCAAATGTTGCCAACTACTCGAAAAATGTCACCTTTCAGTTTTAATTTCACTTTACAAAATTCGACAACCGTCATTCAGGACCGATTTTTCGCAGGCAACCCTATACCACCGTGTTCATAATGAAATAATCTTTATTTTCATTTATATTTGATTAAATTATCAGACCGATGCAAAATGCTCTATCAATTTACCTGTTTATACCTGGCAACCCGAGAGTTATGACTGGAAAAGAATAGGCAACCTAACGTTTGCATATTCTATGGGCTTCATACTTTCGATTGGTATGGAGTTTGTTTAATAATCAAACCGATGAAATATTTAAAAATAAAACTTTTTTTAATGATTAATTAATCATATCCTGGACTAAAATTTATTAGGCAACCCTTAAGCAATATAATTATTGACATGTTAAATTGAATATAAAATATGTTTCATCAAATAAGCATCTCGGTGAAGGTCGTTGTATAGCGGGATCTTATACTATACGGGCAAGAACATTCTAGCATTTAATTCAGTGCCAGAGGTAATTCTGGGATTGGGAGCGGCATGAGAGGGGTGACATTGACATATTGTGACGTGCACGGAGAGAAATTAATATAACAATGATAGGACTGAGTTATGCGCTAGATCTAGACGACTGATTGACTGACTCACTCACTCATCACGAAATCTCAGAAACTACAAGTGCTAGGAGTCTCAAATTTTGCATGGGGGTTCCTTTTAGAACGTAGGTGTTCACTAAGACGGGATTTTGCAAAATTCAACTCCTAAAGCGGTTAAAACGGGGTCCACGCGTACGAAGTCGCGGGCGGCCGCTAGTATTCTTATAATAATCAAGTTTCTTTTTGTCTCCAGGTGCACACCAGGCTGACCTACCTGAGACATCTGATCGTGTCGCTGGCTCAGGCCCGGGACATCGACAGAACGTTACTGGTGTTCTCACATGACTACTATGATGAGGAAATCAACACGCTCGTCCGGAGTATCGACTTCACTAAGGTAGGGTAGGGATTTATCGACAGTTTTTATCTATAGTGATGCCGAAATATCGATAATTATAAAAGAAAGAAACATTTATTTCGATTAACATCACATAGTTAAGGACAGAGAACGTATACAGAAAAAAGACAAATAGCACATAAATATTACAAGGAAATAAAAAGTGAACTGAGCAGTGCTATCCTGTCGCAACAGCGATGCCCATCGCAAAGGGATGTTTATCGATATAGTGATGCCGAAATATCGATATTTTTACTAGCTTCTGCTCGTCAGGAGTATATCGATTTTACCAAGGTAATGACCGGACTATCGATATAGTGAAGCTGAACTATTGATAGATTTACAATAGATATTGTTGTCGAACTATTAAAAAACATACAAAAGCTGGGTTTCCTGTGAAGGTGTGTCGTGTCGTATACAAAGTGTTCTACATTTGCGCAGCCCCTAAATGTATGGTATCTGTGTTACAGGTGATGCAGATCTTTTACCCGTATTCGATACAGACGCATCCCTACGAGTTCCCTGGCACGGATCCTAGAGACTGCCCGAGAGATGCCAAGTTCGAGCAGTAAGTGGCTATAGTCTGGTCTCCGAGCACGTAGAATTTTGTCCAATGACCCCAAGCTACCCATCCTTATCGCACGCGCGTAATGAAGGCTATCGTTTTTATACTTAACAGTTGGCACCCCTGGCGATTGACAGGGCCTTACTCTACAGTGGCGCCATCTTGATGAGTGCAAATGCGATAGTCCGCCACTGTCTTCGCTACTAGCAAGTGACAGGACCTTACTCTACAGTGGCTCTAACTGGTGAGCGCTAAAACGATAGCCCTCATTATATTGCTGTCGCGACTGTGCGACGGGCGCCCGCAGTGAGTGTGCGAGCGCGACAGCAACATAATTACGCTCGAGCGATAAGGATGGGTAGCTTGGGGTCATTGGACAAAATTCTACGTGCTCGAAGACCGGGCTTTAGTTCTTTTAGTTTAAATTTTAGTTTTTAGCGTATCCTGTGTTGGCCTTGGCTTAATCAGTGTCTCGATTTAGAGCATTGGTTCCCAAACTTATTTGAGACGCGCCCCCTTTCGACCATACAAAAAATTCCGCGGCCATATTGGGCTATTTTGTGGGTACGATAAAACCTAAATCAATTTTCCCTTCCAGAGCGGTCAAACTAAAATGCCTCAATGCGCTTCACCCAGACTTACACGGTCACTATCGGGAGGCCAAGTACACACAAACAAAACACCACTGGTGGTGGAAGGCTAACAGAATATTCAACCAGCTGCAGTGCACCCAGGGACACACTGGTGAGTTGATATATCCAGGGGAGATTGCCCCTGACAATGTAAAAAATATACCCCAAAATATCCCCTGACTAAAAATTTCCCCATAAAGTCTTTGTCCCATACTACGTCTAAAACTTGCCCCAGACAATGTATAAAAAATACCAAGAACAAGTAAGTAATGAGTGTAAGGTCATTACCGGGAGGCCTAGTACACGCAAAACAAGCTTAACTGGTGGTGGAAGGCTAATAGAATCTTCAATCAACTGCAGTGCACCCAGGGACACAATGGTAAGTAAAAGAATAAAGCTAGAAAAAAAATTTGCCCCAAAAAAATTCCTTGACTACAAATGCCAAAAAAAAATTGGTCCATATAGTCCTTACCCCAAACAACGTGTAAAAATTGCCCCTGACAATGTAAAAAATACTCAAAATGTAGAAAAAAAATCCCCATATCGTCTTTGCCCCATACTACGTGTAAGAATTGCCCCTGACAATGTATAAAAATACTCCCAAAAAATCTCCTGACAAAAATGCAGATAAAAATTGCCCCATATAGTCTTTACCTCATACAACGTTTAAAAAGAAGAACGGTCATCTGTGACCCAGGCCCGACAGAAACGAGACATACCTCAGTTTTTTTGTCATGTCTTAATTAGTTAAATTATATATTTTTTATATTCGAAATCTATGTATAACACCAAAATATTACCCTTTGTTTTTGTTCAGGCGTTATACAAAAACTAATACAAAATGCCTATTTATCACCAAAATTGGTAAATGTATGTACCTAAATGTCTATTACAGCTGCTATGGAATGTATCTAGGTGACCTGGAGATACAGCCGGATTATACAGGGTGGTTATACATATGGAACGATAAGTGATCTCACTCGATTATTTCTAAACTATACAAGATATCGAAAAACTAGTTACTGATTCTGAAAGTGCTTCACGAGCTCTTTCAAATGGTACCATTAATAGGGTACAGATTATGGAAGCTGGTAACATTGAATTTTTGGATTTTGTAACTTATTATCTTTTCCACCCTGTATAATCCGGCTGTATCTCCAGGTCACCTAGATACATTCCATAGCAGCTGTAATAGACATTTAGGTACATACATTTACCAATTTTGGTGATAAATAGGCATTTTGTATTAGTTTTTGTATTACGCCTAAACAAAAACAAAGGGTAATATTTTGGTGTTATACATGGATTTCGAATATAAAAAATATATAATTTAACTAATTAAGACATGACAAAAAAACTGAGGTATGTCTCGTTTCTGTCGGGTCTGGGTTTTTTTTGTATGGGGCGTGACCGTTCTTCTTTCCCCTGGCAATATACCTAGCACCTAGAAGGGGGTAACGCATTACAGGTCTTTGTGAAAACCCTTGGGGAAGGTCTTTGTCCAGCAGTGGACGTCCATTGACTAAAATGAACGCACAGAATGCTGGTTTTTGTTTAATCGTTCGTTCGTTCGTTTCAGCCGAAAGACGTCCACTGCTGGACAAAGGCCTCCCCCAAGGATTTCCACGAAGACCGGTCCTGCGCCGCTCGCATCCAGGTACCTCCCGCGACCTTCACCAGATCGTCGGTCCACCTAGTGGGAGGCCTGCCCACGATACGTCTTCCGGCTCGTGGTCGCCACTCAAGAACTTTCCTGCCCCAGCGGCCATCAGCTCTTCTCATTTTGTTTGATACCCAATTTGAATTCTTCCAGGCCTAGTATTGTTCCTTGAGGAAGACCATTATGTAGCAGAAGACTTCATACACATGCTGAATCTACTCCGTTCTACTGCGGACAAGAATTGTCCCCAGTGCGAAATATTGTCCCTGGGGACATACCTTAAAACGTACCAGTACCATATAAATGGGGACAGGGTAAGTAGATCACAAAATCATTATCATCAGGGGCCTTAGTTTGAGTTTACATCAAACGTCTTCACTCACTAAAGTCCGGTCACCGAGCACGTAAAATTTCGTCCAATGACCCCAAGCTACCCATCCTTATCGCTCGCGCGTAATTATATTGCTGTCGCAACTGTGCGGGGGCGTAGTGAGGGTGCAGGATGGGTAGCTTGGGGTCATTGGACGAAATTCTACGTGCTCGGCGACCGGACTTTAGTGACTGCGTTAACAATGACAGACTGCAAATGAGGGTTTCCTTAATTGATCACCAATTGGTGCCACTGGCGAGTGATGGGTCTTTACTCTAAAATGACGCCAACTCGAAATTTCAATTGCGATAGTCCTACCGCAGCGCTGCCGAGTTGGCGCCCGCTTTCTAAGCTACAAGCAATTTGACAGGTCCTTACTTGCCAACGGCGCCAACTGGTAAGCGCAATTTAGGGAACTTACACGCTTTCAATATTATTTATTGCATACGCACGCACAAATCAAAATAAACAATAAAATTATAACACACCTTGTAAAACGTTTCAAAAAGTTTAATCTTGTCACTTGACTGCTGAAAAAAATAACCTGTTTTTGCTTCACCGTAGTCAAGTAGTAAAGTTATGGTATCAAATACCCAATTTACTTACAATTTTAGCCATAACTTCTACAAGAAGTACCATAAAAGCACTTAGTGTGCCACTAGCTTTCAATGTTGCTTATTCCTTGACACTGACAGTTTGTCAAATTGTGTTTTTACGCCACTTACATACACAACTTGTTTTTTTGGGCTTTTATCACATTTAAAAAACACTACACAATAGAGCTATTGTATTTATTGTCACCAGTTGGCGCCACTGTAATGGCGAGTTAGCGCCTCTCATTTGTTTGTTGCTAAGACAGAAGCGCTAACTGGCGCCACTTGGCGCCAATATCGAGTAAGGTCCTGTCACTCGCTTGTGGCGCCAACTGATGACAGTTTTGTAAACAATACTTCACATTGAGCTATATTTTTGCCACATCAGTTAAGGAGCACTGTAATATGTTTGTAAGTTTTTAGACATAATTTATATTATGTATCTGTAGCATTTATATATTGCTATATTTATGTAACAACAGAGAAAGAAACAATTGACCCTCAACTACATACAACAAGTAAAGGCAGCAAATGAAGAAAGAAGAAGAAGGATGCAAGAAACTCAAACGTGGAACTTCCAAGTGTACCCTAACCTTTATTCCAATACGCAAAAGGTTCATATTTCTCTAGCAGCATGACGTAGTGTTAGAGCTAGAGTCCATACATTTTTGTTGAATGATTTTTGGATGCTTGCCGTTTTTGTAGTTTGAGAGTTTTAAATGCATGTAGATTTGTATTTGAGAAAGATTTTTGTATTTAGAGTTGAATGAATTTTCTTTCATATTCCATACAGTTACCTTTTGATTTTGAATCATTAATATTATTAACAATAAGTATAATTTAATACTTTTATTGAATGCGGCATGTTTTTTTCATATTTTTGATGTTTGTGTGTTTTAATAATTCGTATAACTAGTCCAGAGTTTTAAAGAACACTTTTTTGATATTTTTAAGTAAACTAAGTTCTAGGTATTGTTGTGTTGAGTTGAATTTCTAGTCGTTTTATGAATTCGATTCTATTTGAAAGATGTGTCGAGTTTTTGTCTAGTTGTCTAGTTTTATTTTTTTACGTATGTACTTTTATGTAATCGCCTTTAAAAATTATTTCAAACACAATAAATCACGTTGTCAAACCTCTTGCCAAAGTGATTTTAATATCCTTTTGGATATTATAATAATAATAAATTAATAATAAAGAAGAACAAAACTCATCGCTTAAAAAATAATGTATGGAGTCAGCTCTAGGACTATTTTAATAATAATGCTAGTTGGATGTGGTTGTATAAAGCTAAATCTAAGACAAGCTTATTAATGTAATAAGGACGTGGGAGAGGGACAGAATATATTTCTGTCTCAGGTGAAAGGGATATTGTATAGATTTCTTAGTTTTAACCTGGTGGTGGTAGAATTGAAGCCACTGTATTTTGAACTTTGGTGAGAAAACATAAGGTGCAAAACCAATTAAAAATACTTTTCTTTATACAGTTGAATTAAAAAATATTTCTGACTGTCCTATCCATGACATTGACAGCGGGGCGCCACCGTCCATACCGGATCGCTGGTTTCGATTTTTGCCATGTTGGAAACCATATAGTTGAACGATGCTAGCGCCCCCCTGTCATTGAGTTTGGTGGGACAGTTCAGCGTGGGTCATCTATACCTATCATACGATACTTAACTCTTAATAGATTATAACTTTTACAACTGAACATCTAAAAGTTTTTACATCTGACCGAGAAATGCACTCTATGTGAACATGATACGGTTTATTCTTCAACAATCAGATGTTTTAAGACTTGAAATGCTCAGTTATTTTTCGTATTAATGCCTCTAGTCATTGTAACATTATTTATTTAAATTATCGTCAAAATACAAGTAAATAAAAGTAGCTATAGTTCTAAAAGTAGTTGTAACGCGCCATCTTTATTCAAATACGTGTACTTAATTGTCAACCTGCATACAATAACGCCATCTATATTCTAGTTCCAAACTTGGGGGCGTGGCCAAATAATGTTACATTGTCTACAGGCAAGATTGTACTCTATGTTTATTGTAATATAGGCTTGTTTTGCTTGCGAATGCGACTATAGTAGTTTCTTTGCGCTGTATATAAATGCTTTTCTATTATGATTAATTTTGAAAACCACTCTTTTTAATCACCGAAGAAATTATAAGGTATATTGAATAATATCATTATCCATACTGATTTCGTCTAGCATTTGAATATTTTATTTATTTTATATCTACATATGAACAGGCTATCTTAAAGTTAGCACATAACACTGAAATCGGAAGTAGATGGACCTAAGATGCAATTTCTTCGTTGATTAAAAAGTGGTGTAGGTATTTAATTTTTGGTTCACCTTGTATAATATATTCATGTTATGAGGAATGAATGCACTGACCATATTAATTTTTTGCCAAAACCGTTAACAAATGAACCTTTACCAACCCTTCCATTCCGAATCTCGAGAATAGTGCAAGTTGGAAGCAACTTTTGACTTGTATAATTAGTTTAAAGCCCGGTCTCCGAGCACGTAGAATTTCGTCCAATGACCCCTAGCTACCCATCCTTATCGCTCGCGTGTAATTATGTTGCTGTTGCGCTCGCACACTCACTGCGGGCGACCGTCGCACAGTCGCGACAGCAATATAATTACGCGCGAGCGATAAGGATGGGTAGCTTGGGGTCATTGGACGAAATTCTACGTGCTCGGCGACCAGACTAGTTGTCTCTAAGGCATTCAATTTCTATCAACATAAGCGATAAACATGTTGCAAGGAATAGAAAATACTTATAACTCCAAACACTATAAGTGCCTTTTTTATGTGATGAGGCACGCGTGCGAATGGTTCGCAGTATTTCATACATGTTTCTCAACCGTGCGTGTATACGCATGCCCACAGATTAGAGAACAGATCCGCACGCGTGCCGAAATCCGCATCACAGGAAAGAGGCACTAAAAATGACATAAATTTTATTATCTGTCATATTGGGAGATTAAGGGTCTATTTTTTAATCATCAGATATCTTATAACTGAAGAATAAACTTGTCATTTTGACATATTTCCAATACTGAAACTGTCAATGTGCCAAACTTATTCTTCAGTTATAGTTCCAAAATACTGGACTGTCCTGTCGATGACATTGACAGTGGGGCGCCACCGTCAATACCGGATCGCTGGTTCAGATTTTTGCCATGTTGGAAACCATATAGTTGAACGATGGTAGCGCCCCCCTGTCATTGAGTTTGGCGGGACAGTTCAGCGTGGGTTATCTATAAAAGTTATCCGACCAAAGTAATGACAGTAATATTGATGTCATTATTACCATCATGTAGTCCGCTAGAAAGATACAAAGTAGTTTTAGTTTTTAACAAAATGTCCCTTACGCCATGTAAAAATCTGTTGAGTATCATGTAAAACGCCTTAAAAATGAGTCTGGATAATTTGGTTAAAATTGTTAACAGTTTTGGCAAATATGAAAAATATTTGTAAAATTCATTGAATTACTTTTTTCAATGTGTAAGTTGGATGTCAACCTGTAAGATTTTATTCATGAAAATTTGAACTACTTTAAACGGCATAAAAACCTTACAATCCAAAAAGAAGGTGGTTCTGTTCCTCAAAAACAACTGTTAGTTTATTTCTCACCAGTTGGCGCCACTATCGAATAAGGTGTCACTCGCCAGTGGCGCCAACTAGTGAGCATAATATGACAGCCCTCGGCCAGTCTTACGCCGGTATTCACAAACAATGCTTGCTTAAGTGAAGCAGCAAATCGAACGCACAGCGTTGAATAAAGCTCTGTGATTGGTTCGTGTGTCACCCTGTGCGTCCATGCTCACTGTGAGACCTCAAAGTAATGTTTGTCAATACGGGCGTTAATTTAGTGAATTTTTAACAAGGTTGTCAGTTATAAGTTTACTATATAAGTTCTTTTGATTTTGACTTCCAACTCACACAAAAGTGTAAAATGCATGTTGATAACTATAGTGACCACTTATGTTACCCAAAATACACCGTAAAGCAATAGTCATAAGGCTTCTTTTGCTGTAGACACTGCTTAGTGAAAAATTTTCTGAATCGATCTTGAGTCTTACATTTAGGGAAAAAAGTTCAAAATCCGTTGGGGAAATTCGTCACTATGTATGATTTTTAAATATGATGGTGTATGAAAGTTTTCATTATTGCCAAAACTGCAAATTTTAATCCAAAATGTTTTAAGAATTAGCCGTAGTGCTAGTATTAAAATGCACTTGAATTTTTTATATTATAGATTTGGCAATATTGTAAAAAAATATTTATTAGATAAACTGCATGTAAAAAAAAATGCATAATTAAGTATGTAGTATGTAGAAGAATATATTCTGTATTAAAGCTATTATTTTGTATAAATATTGATTAGTGTATGAAAAAAATTTAATTAATTGATGCAATAACGTTAGGTACTCAAAAAATGCGCTAGCACTAAAGCCCGGTCGCCGAGCACGTAGAATTTCGTCCAATGACCCCAAGCTACCCATCCTTATCGCTCGCGGGTAATTATGTTGCTGTCGCGCTCGCACACTCACTGCAGCCACCCGTCGCGCTTGGGGTCATTGCACGAAATTCTACGTGCTCGGCCACCAGACTATAGTTTCTTATTTTGAAAATGTTATTCTAAGGCCCAGAACAGACGGTGAAACGCAACTGCAACGAAACTGCAACTGCTAGTTACTTTTGAGTTGCATCTAAGTTTCTGCCATAGCGTCCGTTGAGAGACAACACATGACGCGACCAGTTTGAAACTTTTAGTTTCAGTTTCATACATCAGAATCATCACAAAAGTTGCAATTTCGTTGCAGTTGCGTTTCACCGTCTGTTCTGGGCCTAAATGTCACGTCTTTGACGATATTGCATCGAATAAAAACGCATTTTAAACTAGTGATACTCCGGCAATGTCAATTAACCAGTAATTCACCCCCAAACCTCCCAATTCCAGGTCGAAATCACCCCCTGGCATTCCAGTATGCACAACATGGGATTCGGGTTCAACAGAACCGTCTGGAATAACATAATGGAGTTGGAGCAGCAGTTCTGTGCATATGACGACTACAATTGGGACTATTCTCTACTGCATCTCTCACAGAATAGACCTGGAAGGGAGAAGTTTAAGGTGTATCTTTGTAAAGGGCCTAGGGTGTTCCATATTGGAGAATGGTGAGTGAAAAACGTTTGTTTTATAGTAAACTAGCTGTGAGGAAGAAACCTAAAGTCCAGTCGCCGAGCAGATAGAATTTTGTACAATGACCCCAAGTTACCCGTAACTATGTTGCTGTCGCGCTCGCACACTCACTGCGGGCGCCCGTCGCACAGTCGCGACAGCAATATAATTACGCGCGAGCGATAAGGATGGGTAGCTTGGGGTCATTGTACGGAATTCTATCTGCTCAGTGACCAGACTTTAGCTGTGGTGTTCGTGACATTGTATGCGTGAAAATAGTTTGAATAATATGTCCCGTTTTTGCAACATTTTTCTTTACTGCTCCACCCCTATTGGCTGTAGAGTGATGATAAAGATCGTTTCATCCACTCGGACGCGCCCCACCATTCTTCCGCGAATGTTTGAGTGTTATCGGTACACGCTAAATGCTCCATGAGTGCACACGCACACTACAGTAATGCCTTACGGATTGCTCGGACCACACTCCCCGCACCCCGCGCGACCGAGACCAAACATGGGGCGCGTCCGAGTGGATGAAACGATCTATACTAATTGGAATAAATATCACATAGGACATAACAATTTCATAAAAAAATGCAAACAAGAATACTCTGACATTAGAGAGTCGTCTTCAAGCTGTGGAGAATAATGCCCGTTTTCACCATCAATCCCTAATTTTTAAGTGACCCCTATGAAAACAAAATTCCTGTTATGTGTTGTTGAAAACGGGCATAAATGCAGATAATTGTCATTTCCAGTGGCTTCCACCACAAAAAGAGCAATTGCAACGCGTCAACCGTCATCAGTAAGGTCCAGAAACTGGTTCAGAACGCGAAGCCCTACATGTATCCCGCAAGAGTGACCGCCACCGCTACGTCTGGCGGTGCCAAGCATAATAAGAGGTTGACGAAGGGAAACGGCGGCTGGGGAGATATACGGTTAGTTAGTTCGTTCGTTCGTTCGTTTTAGCCAAATGACGTCCACTGCTTTTGAGTTTTTGCTAATCTTTAACATTGTGATAGAGCATAGCAAAGCAATGTAAACTGTTTACACATACAGGCTGGAATTTTATAATGCCACCTGGAGGGAAAGTACTTCTAATAGCAGATAGAAAATTTTACTGAACTGAAAACATTCCTTTATTTTTTTTAAGAAAGAGAACTGCATTCATAGATTTTCGAAAATTCACTACCATACCATACAATTTTCTGTGAATAATTACCTACAATAATTTAAGATCATGGTTTTCCTTTCATTTGATTTATCAAGTTTGTTTGAGAGATTTCATCCTTATACTTAACCCTAAAGATCGATGCAATAAAAATACAGGATGTAATATTTAACAGATTTTAGTAGGTTAGATTCCCGAGTGTAGCAAGCAAATTTTTGAAAATCTTTGAATGCAGTTCTATTTCTTTTCAAAAATAAAGGAATGTTTTCTTTGAGTAAAATTTTCTATCTACAGTATTAAGAGTACTTTCCCTTGAAGTGGCATTACAAAATTCCACCCTGTATAGCCCAACGTCCTGGGGTAGGCACGTTTATCTTGTGTGTGTTCTTCTTCTTATCGTGTCGACAACAAACCTGCACAGTGTCAGACCAAAACTCCGCCACAAGAGTATATGGCATTGTCAGTAGCAATCATTAAATCTTCTTGCGTGCAGTTGTTTGGGCACGCAGGGCACGACATATGCTTCGTCGACTGGGGAACACAACCACACTTGCACTCCAAGTTTGAGCCATCCAAGAATCCCCACCTGAACAGATTGTCCTTACTACGGCCGAAGTTTGTGTGTTAAAAATATATTTCTTTCTCTTTCCAGAGATCAAGAGTTATGTACGAACATGACGAGGGTAGGTCGTCAAATGAGGAATTACTTTTACCTCGCATAATGTAAGTGGTTGGTTAGAGACACATGATTATATTCGACACTTTATACACAACGCGGGAAACTTTATACTGGCATCTCACCATATGGATTTCTATATTCAATCTTAATCCAATTTGAACGGATTTGGATTGTCAACTGTCAAATTTTAAACTGTTTTTGGCCAAAATATCTGCGGTTTTTGATGTTTTTACATTTTTATATTGCTTATAAGACTATTTAAACAATATTAAAGTGTAAATGCATCGAACATTTTGGAAATATGATCTAAAACTGAATTTCATTTGTTTTTTTTTTTTAAAGATTATTAGTAATTTGTTATTTCACAAATTACTAATACTCCCGTTAGCCCCTCGTACTAAGCTAAATATGCTTGTGTCACGAGTGAGCTCACCACAATAGTCGAGCGGCGGCGGGGACCGAACCCGCTTCCCCGGATCACGAGTCGGCCAGTCCGACCCCTTCACCGTTCGGCTATCGTGGCTTAGTTGTAATCCGGATTTGGACAAGGATTGAAATATAGGAATCGGGCGTAAATGAGTCAGTGCCTGAGGTATGCGAACGGCATGGTAGGGTGTTTTTGTGACGTCAACGTCTGCAAAACTTCATATGTGCTTCAGTGGGTCTAGACAAAGTGCAAATTATAATCGCAAACCAGTCGAAAAGTGGTCGAAAAGCCCCTTTTTTGTATGGAGTTTTGACGGATTCGATTTTCGATTCGATCAATAAGTGCGTTTTGTCGTGCAAATTATAATCGCAAAGCAGTCGAAAAGTGGTCGAAAAGCCCCTTTTTTGTATGGAGTTTTGACGGATTCGATTTTCGATTCGATTAAAAAGTGCGTTTTGTCTAGGGGGGCAGATTTGTATGCTCTGTCACGTAAATGTCAATGTCCCCCTGCGTTGCCAGACGTCCCGATTTTGGCGGGACGTCTCGATTTTTAAATCAAATTTAAATGTCCCGCGCGGGACAGGCTCGGTCCCGCTTTTCGGAGAGAGACACTTCACCAGACTATTGTTTGAAACGCCATATTATTCTAAAGAATACAACTTTATTAATTTCGAATTTTCTTTTTTTATTCTAAACGAATTTAACGATAGAGTAAATCTGATTTAAAATATTATTTTTTTGTTAAAACATTTTCTATGGCTACTTTTGCTATCTATTGTCAGGTAAACGTAATTTTAAGTCAAATAAAAAGATAAATAATTGAAAACCTTTGATTATATAAGTTTTTTACTATGTCCCGCTTCTGACAGAAGAATCCCGCTATTTTCACTCAAAAAGTACCAAAGTCCCGACTTGGCGAAAAAAAAACTGGCAACACTGATTATTGTCCCCCCTCCCGTGCCGCTATGGCATCCTATCCAAAACTGTGATCTCACCTGATGGTAAGTGACGATCAGGCCGAAGGTGGAAACGAGCAAAATCAAAATCAATCAAAATCAAAAGTATTTATTCAGTTTAGTCCACAAGTGGCACTTTTGAACGTCAAAATATAGTAAATAATAAAAAAAAGAAAAGGTAGCCCTTATGGGGCACTTTACATGTCTCCTTATCTTTTGGGCCCTACCAATGCTTCACCCGGAATCCTCAACCACAGAGGAACTGGCTATCTTACCTCTAACTGCCGGAACACAATGCTGCTACATTGTTGTTATGGCGACAGGCTTGCTAAGATGGTGGTAGTCAGGACTTAAAACCACGATGAAGCCACGATAGCCGAACGGTGAAGGGGTCGGACTGGCCGACTCGTGATCCGGTGAAGGCGGGTTCGATCCCCGGATCGACTATTGTGGTGAGCTCACTCGTGACACAAACATATTTAGCTTAGTACGAGGGGCTAAATCTTCGAAATTATCGCGTTCGTACGTTTATTTTGTCCCATGTTTATTTTGTAACTTCAAGATGTACAATAAAGCCATAAAATTATAAAATTAGTTCTAGTTGTTTATGTATGTATGACTCCCGTGACGTCATAGTATGAAAAGTGTCGAGTATATTTAACAGTCTCAGTGAAAATGAGTGATAAAATTGAGTGATTTTTTTAAAGACTACTTAGAAAAGAGTGAAATTTTGGCCATGTATGTATAGTATTATGTGTTATATGATAGTAAATAAAATATACATAATTATTCAACCCGGTCGAGTTAGGTAATTGCGCACCAGGCGGTCTTGACGTCACATCGCCGCTCTGGTACGGACGGGACGCTCTATCTGTTGTAAGTCAAAATTGAGAAATAAACATAGACTTCAAATGAAACTGCTGTTATAAAACTGTTATTGAAGTCTTGTATCGTCGGTCTCGTTAACAAAATGTGTAACTCAAAAAGTTAAAAAAACTGGCAGGCAACAATAAATAGAATTTGGACTTATACAGTTTTTTAATTAGACCGCCGGTAAAACACTGGAGTTATCCAACAACACTGTATTTATGTATGCTTGACAACAGTATTGCCAGATACTATCTAAAAAGGACTAAATTACGTAATTTTGATAGTCTCGTATAAAAATATAAACCCATTTTATGTCCATTACTACATTTAAATTTTCGTCTGGCAATACTATTAACAAGCTCAGTGGACTTAGCACTTGGCAGTAGGGAATTACATAAAGCAGCGCTGCCAAGTCGTACTATAAGCGCTCTAAAGTATTAATATAATATCGATATCGGTGTATTATTAATATACAACACTATTTAGTGTTACAGGTATAGTGCATAACTAGTAGGTTCCTCTGGTGTCATTAAACAAAAGAAGAATAAGACTTGACATGACATCTCTGACACTTCAATCCCACACTATCATAGGAACCTCCGAACCTCCTATGTTCTTCTGATTAATTTCGTTGCTGGTCCAATGACAGTTTAACTTTCCCCCGGGACAATCTTGACCTTCACTGGTTGGGTTATTGGTCAAGCTGTAGATCCTGGCTACACAGGAGTTGCAGGTGGGAACGAGAGGTGGGAACAGTCCCGTATCTTAGAAACCTACTCAGTTATGTGATATGCCTATACAATGTGGTGGTTAGGGCCTAACGCAGAATCGAGAATTAGGTAAAGTTTGGAAAAATTTTAAGGGTCTCTTTCACGATCTCCGAGTAAAGTTTTAAGTGTTACTTTCTGAATAACACTATTTAGCAAATAAAAGTACCTATAATTCATTGAAGTAATATTACTACGTAGTACATTATAACTCAATGCTATAATCCAACGATTCAGAAACGTCAAGTGGTAAAAATCAAAAACTAACAACCCAGTATTGACGGTAGCGCTCTCCTGTAAATGTCAGTCTTAAAAACTCATTTATTTTTAAAATAGTCTTCCAAAAAGCACTTTTACACGTCCCAGTATTAACCCTACCACTGCTTCGGGACAATAAATGGGCCAGTGCTGTGAAGAAGCAGCGCAATATGGTTGTCCAACGTGACAATAATCGGAACTAATTATCCAGTATTGATAAAGCCTGGTCTGCGAGCACACTCACTGCGGGCGCCCGTCACACAGTCGCGACAGCAATATAATTACGCGCGAGCGATAAGGATGGGTAGCTTGGGGTCATTGGACAAAATTCTACGTGCTCGCAGATCAGACTATAGTAGCGCCCTCCTGACCATGTCATAGCTGGGACGGTTCATTATTTTCTTTATAAAAAAAGTATTTTACCGTGCTTCTTCTCAGCACTGGCCCATTTATTGTCCTGAAGCAGTGGTAGGGTTAATACTGGGACGTGTAAAAGTGCTTTTTTAAAGCCTACTTGCATAAATCAATGAGTTTTTTTACAAAGTCTTGTCAATGGAGTCTGTCAAACTCCATACAAAAACACCAGTTAGAGTTATAGTTACGGGTAAAGTAAAATAGTGCAACTCAGCTTAAGCAACGAGTAGTCTACATGACATTTTACTCAGAAATGGTGAACGAGGCACTTAATAAAAAATGTTGTATTACGATAGCACGGCAAATCAATGGGCGTGTTTGGCCGAAAATTAGAAAATCGTCAGAAATTGTTAGCAAAATGTCGAAACTTTAGCATGTTTTTTGGCGAAGACACATTGGCTAAACTTCAAAAGTGACGTTTCCCATACATTTTTTGACACGGACAGCAATTACCGCTAAAAAGATTGCTGCCGCCCGTCGCACAGTCGCGACAGCAATATAATTACGCGCGAGCGATAAGGATGGGTAGCTTGGGGTCGTTGGACGAAATTCTATCTGCTCGGCGACCGGACTTTAGAGCTATTATCTGCCAAACGCGCCCATTATAGCATAGAATGTGGTTATAATAGAGTCAAAGTTGCAACAAAAAAGATCTATGTGTTGTACACTTTTTTTTGCAAAAATAGCATTCATACAACTAGATACAGTCAGCTGCAAATAGTTCGTGACATCCAAAGTGGCCAAAAAGTTGACAACACAACCTTATTCCAGTGAGGGCTATCGTTTTAGCGCTCACCAGTTAGCGCCACTGTAGAGTAAGGTCCTGTCACTTGCTAGTAGCGAAGACAGTGGCACCAACTGGTGGGCGCTAAAGTGGTAGGAGGACTAGAGAGGAATAATGATAGCCCTCATTAGGGCTATCGTTTTTATACTTAACAGTTGGCACCCCTGGCGATTGACAGGACCTTACTCTACAGTATCGCCATCTTGATGAGTGCAAGTACGATAGTCCTCCTACCACTTTCGCGCTCACCAGTTGGTGCCACTGTCTTCGCTACTAGCAAGTGACAGGACCTTACTCTACAGTGGCGCTAACTGGTGAGCGCTAAAACGATAGCCCTCATTGTAACAAAGACGTATTGCGAACTTTTTGGCTACTTTGGGTGTCACGAACTACTTGAAGCTGACTGTACTTAAGATGCTTTTTAACTCGATACGTCGCACTTTAAATAAATAAAAAAGTGTTTGTATGAAATAGAAATTGTATGATTGTATTAAAACCTAGTTTTCGTTTGCGATTTTAAGTATTTTTTACATAATAATAATGCCATATTATGTATTGATAAAAACATAAATATGTAAGTGTAGCTAGATTTTAAAATGACAGTAAATATAGCAAGTAAATTGGTCCAAAATACTTAATTATGTAATAGGTCTTTAACTAGAAAATTGCATTTTAAACTCATTTTTCCGTATCCAAACTTTTTTTGGTACATTAACGCCCGGTTTCCCATATTC